CTAATGAGTGAAGGCCGACCAACCTATTTTGTCCAAATGTCCGTGTATGGGAGATGAGAATGCCACTGCGTCAAAGGCAAGACGTGTGCGAGCGTCGCTAAAAATAGAGACCACTATCGATGTTTTAGTATACATGGTTTCATTCTTAGTCAGAGCGCAAACAGAGGTTAGATGTCACGAAAACACATACACAAAGACAAAAAGCACTTTATCACGGCGCATTGTATGAGTTGTTATATTACTGGGTGGAATCACCCAAACAAAGATAGTGAACGCCGTGGCGTTTAGGTGTTGAGCTGTTGGTGATGCTTGATCGGCGCAATGTGTCAGTCGAGCTCCAACTGAGGGTGATATGAGGCGGGGCAGCTCTGTGGTTTTACTTGTTGTGTTGCATAGTTAGTTTCGGCCGTCAGCAAATAGTGAAAAATATCTATCTACCTATCTCTCTCTCTCTCTCTCTCTCTATATATATATATATATATACAAAGGCAAAAATGCGTACTGTCAGAGTTACTAATTCGAAGTTTACTACGACGTTTCGAGCGGGGACCACTCTTCATCACCTAATGAAGAACGGTCCCCGCTCGAAACGTCGGAATAAACTTCGAATTAATAACTCCGACAGTACGCATTTTTGACTTTATATATATATATATATATATATATTTTACTAATACAATGTCTGGACATTTACACTTACCAAGTAACCATTTTCAGCTGTGATTTGAGACTGTCACTTATCCCGCTCTTATTTATTTATTTTTTGTTTCTCTTGTTTCTGGCCTTTTTAGTATAGGCTTCCACCAGCTCGCTTGCGCGTGAACTCTAATTTCAAGTGAAACAAGTTTGTAAATTAGGGCGACACTATATAGGTTTGAAATCCTATACCAATTTTATTGCCATTTGGTGAGCCACGTACGAATTTTGAAATATATCTTTTCATCCAAATAATCGATTAGTAAATCGAATAGCGATTCGGACGAATTTACTACGGCGGGAAGAACGAATTTGCAAATCTCATGGCAATTAGGAAATTTCAGCCATCCTTGGTTTCCGATTTGTCGCGCTCAGTAGCGGCTCCCTCCGCACAGAGTAGCCTCGAGTCAGAATTCGCGGAGTCTCTACTGACCGGCCAAAAAAGTGCGGCGCTTCAACTGCTCCCGCCCAGACGACTTGATGTATTTGTATACGCCCATGACATCGGCCGCGATCGGCGATTGAGGTTCCGTTAGCCGACGCAAGCGTCAGCGGACGTCTCATATTTCCATACTCTCATTTAACTACAGAAACAAAAACAACAAAAGAATCATCCAGTTCATGTTCACTATGTTCACCACTGACAAGATAGTCGGTAGTCGACGAGTTTCCGTGCAAAGCCGATCAAAACGAGGCACCAGATCAACTTTTACGGCTGCCATCAGGAAAGATCTGGCTTGTCGCGTTCCCTCAACGTCACTCCGAATATTGTTTGTGCCCCGCGCACCATCCTCTTGTAGCAATATTTTTATTGTCCCCATGTGATTTCTTTTTTATGTTCTTACTGGTGTTTGATCATAATTCGGTCATTGAAATAGTTTTTGCTGCCGACCCTACCATCATTTTGACCCTCTGGCAGCAAAGGAATCTTATGCCGGCATTACACACGAAATAAGAATGTAGACACTCCGTCCCATATCTCAAATTACATCACAATGTGTTTACACAACTGTAGTGCAGAGGTACGATGAGCAGGGTCTGAGAAAATATTAGTTTCAGTATTTTCAAAAGAGCGACGAAACAAAATAAAGAAAGGACCGCCAATCGGCAGCGCGTGCAAGCATAGGCAGTAGTGACAGGAAGCGCGAGGTGTGTCTTTTTATTATAATGCAATTAAATGCAAAGGTGCAAGCGAGCTGGACAAGAATGACGAAAGTAAACCCTGGAGAAGGGGAACAAGAGGGAAAAAGGACAATTTTCGTACGGCCGGCATCAACTCACGCACTGTCCGAAGATGTACTCTGTTTTACTCGCAGGATTGCAACCCTGCGGAATGTAGGCGTGTGATTTCAGAAAGCGCGTCCTACCATTTCTACGCGCGAGTGCTCCTGCAACCCAAGCATTGTATACAGTTACGTCCTCGCGCCCGTGCCTTGGCCAGCCCCGTACACAACTTATGCAGTATCGAAAAGGCATAGTTCAAAATTGACGGTCCCACTTTTCCATACCGCTTCAAAACCCCATCTCGCTCAAATCACTTGGCAGCCGGACAATTTTGGCAGGGGGCCTCAAGTTGGGGATTATCCGGTACATTGTCCTCCCAACAATGAACGTGGGCGCGACGCGCCAGAGGGTGAACACGTGAAAGGAGGGGCGTAAGAGTGGAGAAGGAAACTCAAGGTCGCAAGCGACGGGAAAAAGGGTTTCGAAATTGGCGCGCAGGTTTTGCAGCATTTGCTCATACGGACAGCCAACGCCGCCCTGGTGGTTCAACTAATGTTTTGTTCAAGATGGCCGCCGTGGTACCGCAGCCTTAACAAGATATAGAATCCCCTCCGCCCCCCGCCCCCCCCCCCCCCCCCCCCACACACACACATTGGTGAACGCCCAAATTATTAAACGTCTTCAAACAAATTCTATGCTTGTGTCCGCATTGCGAAGGTGCAGCGACCAGGAAGAGGGAGCCAGTTTTTCTTCAACACTTGTGCAAATGTGGAATATAGGTTGGAAGTAGTTCATTGTTATGAGCGCTAAAGATGTGTCTTCACACAATAAAGTAATCGGAAAAGTAACGATTACTTCTTTAAGTAATGTCCAATTACTTTTGCCGTCGAGTAATCAAGTAATCTAATCGAATACTTTTTAGCCAAGAGTAATAGTAATTGTAATCGATTACTTTTTTTTAGTAACGTGTACAAGACTGGGACTCATACCAGATGCATCGCCACGCTTGAGGTTAATGGAGACGCGCCTCAGAAACAAAAACACAAAGAAAAACAGAGCCACGCAGATGCATCTTCACGGAAGGCGTGGAACAAGAGGGTTCGACGCCCCTGTGCAGTGGGGATGGGTGATGTCACCGCTGGGAGCGCCTTGAGCGCTAGGAAGACGTGCCGGGTTGCTTGTAGGAATTCGCTGGGAGTACGAATGCTTTCGTCTTGCTTCCCATAAGCAGTCTTATATGTCCTCCCCTGTCATTTTTCGAAATCGCAATGCAGGTGGCAGCACGCTTGAAAGCAAACTTTGATGCCGTAAGGAATTTTAACTGTGCAAGCCTTTATAAGGCTTGTGCACTTATAAGACTTGTACACAAACTGGAACTGGGAGGTTTGTACACAAAATATAAAAGTCAACGTGGCACACCGAGCTAAAAGGCGAATACATATGCTGTGCTATGCGTGTGGTTTGGGTCGTTGTTAATATAATTGTTCTGTTACAGTTGTTACAAATATTATTGTTCTTCTCTTGTCGCTGATGTTGTTTCTGTTGTTCTATCGTGTCAACTATTGAGGCTACTTTTGTTAGAAACACTGATAACTCAGAGTCCGATAAAGGGTTACTACACACACACATGCAAACGCTTTAAAAATAACGGTGCGTTCATTGTTAATACAAATTCAGTCAGTGGAAAGGCAAGATGTCGAAACTTTTTCTTAGCGACAAATTATTCTTACACTCGAGCGTGAAGACGGGGAAGTTTGCTGGTGTAGACAAAAACACAAGGAGTCAGACAACGTCTCAAATTTAGCTCCTGCGTCTACTCAGTCACACTGTTTATATAACCACAAACGTATGACGACGAGACCGCAGAACCTCTTTCTTTTCAATGACAAGCACTAAAAACAAATGACACTATTACACACAAGGAAGGGCTCAAACAAAAAGTGGTGCTGACAAATCTTGTTCGCTCGTTTGCTTCTAGATCAAGAGACCACAGTGCTTCAAAGTTTATACAGAAAAACAAAAAGACCGTACCTTAAAATAAACTGGAGTCACACTTTAAAAACACCCACAGCTGCACTGCCCGCTTTGCTTGATTCCAGCTACACGATGGGTTCCATCGACCTAAAGAAGGGGCAGTCCTTTGACCTAAGGCAATTCAAAGTATATAATTAGTTTTCAGCTTGATCTTAAAGCACTACGTGGAACGCGTCTTTGACTAGTGTGTTTACCGTCCTAAACAGCGTGTCGGTCCATAAGACCGACACGCTGTTTACAAACAAGCCCACGTTTGCCCACACCATGTGTGGGCACTGCGCGTGCGCAGAAACCAAATTTGGAAGGAGTGAAGCGTCCGCGCATGCGCAGTGCCGTCGACAGCGCCACCGCAGCTGCGTGACGTCAGGGCCGCGTGTTGGTCTATATGTGCGGTCCCGAAGTAGCCACAAATTGCGTCACGGGAGGCGGCCTTTCATGCCGTCAGATGTTGTCATCCTGGCGGTTAGTCGTTGAAATGCTGACTACACTGGTTAGCAGACGCCTGGGTCGCTGTCATCACAGCGTCCCATCCCATGTCTGCTAAGGGTTTCCGTCGACTGCCTGGCTGCGTAGCGACCTCTACAGCAGGGCAGGCGTCTGTCGCACCATCTCCGCTACTCTGCCACCACCAGGGTCGGGGCAGGCAACGGAATGTCACGCTCATGACGTAATCGGACGAAAAATCGAGCCTCGAGGGACCACTTTTGATGACGTTTTAAGCACACCATTTACAGAAGCGCTTCAGGCACCAAAGCTTTACTGTATATTCAGTGACAGTGTGATAACGGCAGGGTGATCTTCAGTTGTCCCCTTGCCTCCAGCGCCACCTACCTGCCTTCGACGACGCTTCAGTGTCGTGCACCCGAAGCACGCGATCGAAGCAAAGGCATGGCGGAAGGCATGGAGCGCGTACTGGAGACAGAGTGTTCGAAAGACACACCCATCCGTCTTCACTTTCTCAGTGACCGTAGCCTTTGTTCCCCTGGATTTTCGCTCGTCGTCAAAAGAGGATATGTCACCGATGATTCAACGGTGTCGTTCCCCAGATCACCCGCCTGTCTCCGACCAGCAGGAGCGACAACCCTCCGGGCTACGTGGTTGCGGTGATGGCCATGGACTGCATGCAGCTCTCCATCAACCTGGTGCAGTTTACAGACCCCATAGTTGGAATGACGTGCATGCCGATAGTCTTCTACCTCTTGGCGACAAGGGTCGGAACAGTACCGGCTCTCTGCTGCGCGGCCTGGCTGCTGGCCGCCATCCTCTTGCCCTTCCCGACCTCCAGACTGCAAAACGCTATATGGGTGGGTACAAGCAGAACCATACATATTTTGAGAGGTCGGTCAGACATTTTAATGTGCGACATGAAAATGGAGGAACTAAATTGTCCCGTTTTTCGTGTTCGCAATCAATCGAAATTTACGGTCTCAAATAACACTCTAGCGGTGGTAGTGAGTACAAGCGTGAACCGCAATCAGTTACTGAGGTTGAACGAAGTGGTAGACCTTCTTCACAGAAATTCTCACCGCACAGGCGTTCATTAGTACTGCCCTCAGTGTGAAGTTCTGCACGCCCGTACGATGCTCGCACACGCTTTGTGCCTAGAGAAAAACACGCACCGATTTCAACTATTAATATATTCTTTCCCGTGCTCAGTATTTCCCAATATTGTTGCATATAATACGTGTATGAGCTTGCGTTTGAATGTTGTTGCAATTTTGATTTTGTTGTAGTTTGCTTTGGGTGCTTCCGGAGTTTCGCATCACTTCTGTTCTCGGTTGCATCAGCAGGACTGATGCTAATTTTGAACTTGTATGGAAATACACAGTGAGAACCCTCATATAGTTATTGAAAATTTTAGATGTTACGAAGATAGTGCTTTTAGTCAGTTTGATGCATTTAATATTAAATACCGATGATCACCGAAAGGACACGGTAATTTTGATTAGTTGTACTGTTCTTGCTTACATGTGTTCGTCACGAACTCAATTGAAGTTATACGTTGTCAGCAAACCGTAAGTAAACGTAATGGTACAAAATACAACTCATGACGTGTCGTTAAATAACGGATTGCCAAAGCAAGTTCACTCGAGCGTTTGAGTGCGCTTGTAACCGCGTGACACACTGACACACTGGCGCTATCTTTCGGGTAAGCCAGACATCCTTATGGCTTGTGTATAACTAGACTGAAGTCTTTTTCACGCATTTGCAATATAAATGTAACCATAATCCACAGGGAATTGTGACTTATAACACTGTGAAGATTATTCCCAGTCCGCGGTAAAAAATATTACGCAAAAATATATATTTATATATATTGTTAAAGGCAGACGAAGAAGAGGACGAGGAGTAGAATAGTGCCCTTGTGAACGTTAAGTGGCATTCCGTCAGCTGGAACTGCAGTTGACTCCAGTCAGCCTGTAACATTTTGGTGGCCGTTGGCTTGTGCAATAATTTCAGCCTGGTACAGATAAAGGTGAACTGGTACGCTGCCGTCGAAGGGTGTTAACTTCAGTGACGGTTTAGTCCTTGCACAGGTACGTCGGTTCACATTCGTCAAGGGGCTAACGGCTGAAACGATCTCACCTTCATCCAGAGCCGATGAACAGGTGTTGAGGTCATCTACAGAAATCCCCAAAGCGTCGTTTTGGGTATAAAGAATGAACCTACCTTGGGCACGTTGTATCGAAAAGAGGGATTACACCAAATCCTGTCAAGCTTCAAGCCTTCGCAGAGTATCCTGTTCTAACATTTTTAAAGGAAATAAAAAGTTTCCAGGGATTCGCATCATATTTTCGCCGATTCATTTCTGACTATGCGCGCCGTGCAGCTCCAATGACACGTCTGCTACGCAAAAATGTAGCCTGGCGATGGACAGCAGAGGAACAAGCTTCATTTGAAGACCTGAAGAGTGCCTTGTTGAGTGCCTCAAGTCTCGCCCACTTTGACCCTGCTAAGGCGACCTATCTTTACACAGATGCCAGTGGAGAGTGACTCGGTGCTGTTTTGTTGCAACAAGATGAGGACGACAAGCAACGTGTTGTTTCATACGCAAGTCGCCGTCTGACGGACGCAGAACAGCGGTATCATTCTTCAGAACTTGAGTGTCTTGCACTAGTCTGGTCAGTGCAACACTTCCGGCCATATCTCTACGAACGACACTTCACAGCTGTGACAGATAACTCAGCCTTGACATGGCTCAGTAGTGTTGACGATTGGGCTAGTTGGTCATTCATATTAGCGGAAAACAAACAGCGCAAGGACAAGGACAGAGTAGAAGGCGGCAGCGCTGTGTGTGTCTACCGCCTTCTACTCTGTCCTTGTCCTTGCGCTGTTTGTTTTCCGCTAATTTGACATGGCTCCAAAGCAAGAAAGATCTAACAGCCAAACTGGCTCGTTGGTCAATTTTACTTCAATAACATAACTTCACAATTGTTCATCGGAGTGGCAAAGAACACCAAGATGCAGACTTTCTATCTCGTCATCCGATGAAGGACATACCAGATTCTCCTGACCACGATGCTTGTTTTGTGCGTCTACATTTAATTTGAACGCAGGCCAGGAACAAGATTGTGAAATCCAGGACATCATGTCTCGGCTTCAAACGACTGACGTACCACCCACGACTAATCGCCTACGTAAAGCGTACCAGATTCGTGCCGGGTTACTTTGCCATCGCAGTTTCAGCAGTAAACATTAGGTACCAGTTGTCCCATTTTCACTACGCGGAGCGCTACTGCATCTTTGTCACGACGACCATACGGCGGGGCATTTAGGCCGTGACAAAACTTTCCAGAAGATATTAGAAAGGTACTGGTGGTCCGGGCTTCGAAAGGACGTGGCAAGCTACGTAGCCTCTTGCTCACAATGTCAGCAACGCAAGTCACCAAATACAAGCAAGCCATGTGAACTTCACCCCATACCACCACCCAAGGCTCCATTCGAAGTGTGGGGAATCGACCATCTCGGGCCTTTTCCGCGTACATCAGACGGGAACCGCTTGATTCTAGTGGCGGTAGATCATCTTACCAAATGAATAGAGTTATGCCCCGTGGCCAGTACCTCAACCAAAGAAGTGGTGCGGTTCCTTAGAACCCAGCTTCTCCTGCGACACGGAGTGTCACGGATGATCACAACTGATGGAGGTACAGCTTTTACCTCTGCCGTGTTTTCAGAAGAGCTAGCACCTCACTCATGCTAAAGCAGCTCCCTACCGACCGCAGACGAACGGGTTGGCTGAGCGAGCTAACAGAACAATTGCTGGAATTCTTTATTCGTACGTAAATGTCAAACACACGGATTGGGACACTTTTGTTCCTTATGCCGCGTTCGCGATAAATACCGTGAAGCAGTCAAGCACCACTTATACACCATTTCAACTTGTTCATGATAAAACGGCGGTGCTTCCTCAAGAATGCTCATCATCTGTAACGTGGCGGAATAGGGGGGACGATTTTGCAGACGATAACTTTCAGCACCGCCTGGATGACGCATGAGAACGAGCCTCCCCAAGAATGGCTATATTACATTCCCAACAGAGTGCGGCATCTCGATACAGCGCTCCTGCCTCAACCTCGTGTCTATCTCCGGGTGACTTGGTCCTGGTTCGGAGGGAACAGCGAAAGAAAGGTAGAGCACAGAAGCTTCTCCCTATGTATAGGAGTCCCTGTGAAGTCACTAAGAAAATTGGACCACTAACCTACCTATAAAGTTCGAGATTGGGGAACTTCACGGAAGACCAAGACATTTGCAGCGCATATGCATCACCTGAAAATGTACATCCCACGCACAAGTGTTCTTCCTTCTTCTCCGGGTCAGTGAATTGTGTGAACCAACGGGCCGGTGACTTGCTTTTTGTACTGTTGTAACTCTTTTACGGGGGAGGGGGAGATTGTTAGAGGCAGACGAAGAGGACGAGGAATAGAATGGTGCCTTGTGAACGTTAAGTGGCATTCTGTCAGCCGGAACTGCAGTTGACTCCAGTCAGCCTGTAACAATATGTATATACACAGTTTGGAAGCGTTCCAGGGCTGTGCGATGAATGGTGCCAAAGTGCCTGTGTGTTTAGCGGTTATACGGGAACGCGACGCACTCGAATTACTAACACACACATTTTGGTAACTACCCTAGCAGCACACTTCCCCGGCTTATACTTGGGCCAGTGTGGCGCAGGCTTGTGCCAGGCTTGAGTTAAGTTGGCTCTAGATCGCGCCAGTCTGGCCCAAGCCTGGGCCCAGGAAGTGTGTTACTTGGGTAGCAATACGACTGTCTTAAATAGAACGCTGTTTCGAGCGAGCCGGCTAGTTTACCCGTATCTAACAAAGCACGGCGTGTACCCCAATATCTCTCTATTTGTTTTTGTTTTCACTGCCAAAATAGATTTTTTATCTCCAAACGCTGGGTTTTCGCCCAAATGTGGCGCTAGTGGTCCTGATCATACACTAAATTCTCGGAGCCAGCCATTATCCTACTGAAACGTTATGTAATTCTCTGAAAAAGTTTAAAAGGGAAAATAGGGGCCCATTTCCGGTGGTTGCAAGTGTCATCCAGCTCGATGTCTTTGAGGGCTTCGTAACCACGATTTTGCCATAAACCATTTCGAAAGTCGCTGAGAAATGCTTGAACGCGATACAGGCAAGCTCTGGAACTTTTGCAGCTGGTCCCTTTCTTTAGTGCTACAATTTTTAGGAGAATGAGTGTTCGTCTATGCGTAGTTTAATTTTGCCGTGAAAACAAATTATCTAGAAATTTTAAGGGACACCTTGTATATGTGAGCCTTCACTTGTGGGCACTTCGGTAGCACGCCAGAGGAACGCCTAGGCGCAAGCTTTGAGATCTAGGGGGGCTTACTTGGGCCTAATGAAGTTTTGTTTCAAAACGTTAGATAGTGATAGGGTACTTTCCTTTTAAATGTTTTGTGTTTTTTTTTTTTTGGGGGGGGGGAGGGGGCGTGGGGGGGAGGAAGGAAGCGCTCGACACCAGTCTCGCCGTTTGGCGAGATTGCCAAAGTGCCAAATTTCAGTCAAAAATGCCAGGTGTGAATCAGAGAACCAGCAGTGAAGCATAAATATTTCACTTGGCTGACACTCTAGGCCCAATGTTGCCAAAAGAAAACCCAACTACCAAACGCGAGAACTAAGCCCTTTGGAGATTTAGGCCCAAAAATGCCAGACGTCTGCGAAACTACCAGCGGTAAAGTGGGACTTCGGCACTTGTTCGATGTGCAAAGCTAAAATTATTGAGTAAAAAAGACAATAATAGACAACAAGAAAAATCTGCGTAATATCAGTAAATCATGAGCGTTGATATTCATGTGCATTCATCGTTTTCTCGACTGTGCCTTCATAAATACTTTTCGTCTGCGCGTTCGTGTATGTCCAATGTTACTCCCTTTTCTCTTTCTTTCATGTTTCCCTCTGTTAATGCTCGAAATAACATAGTATATATAACTGTTAAGTGCTGACGAAATGCCACCGTGGGGGCCTGTGGCTTTGCCAAGCTGTCCTCATGACAGCTTTTTCAACAAGCCAACAGTGTCCTACACGTTTTACTTTGCGCAAATAAATATTGTAGATCAAATAAATCCCCAAATAAAAGGCCCAAGGGTTGGTCAAAGAAAGCCACGTTTGGTTTTACCTTGTCATCTTTAGACGCTTTAAGGCCCCAAGTTTCCAGGCAAATACATGTCTTGACCAAAAGAAACGCGCTACTTGCTGGTACCCACGCCGACGAGCAGTACGCATCTTGAAAAAAGAAAGATCCCTTCGATCTTTTTTCTCTTGTACTTCAGGGGCGCGTCATGAGATTTCGTGACGACCGCGTGAAGCGTCTCACGGACCTCCTCACTTCGGTGCGATTGGTCAAGATGTGCGCCTGGGAGGACGCGTACATGCACGCCGTGAAGGAGCTCAGAGCCAAAGAGATGGTTCCCTTGTTCCTGGCCAATCTCCTCGACGGGTTCATCGACTCGGTGTACAGCGCCTCAGGTTCGGTGGTGAGTTCTACACCCGGTGTTGTTCACATCCTTAAGAAATAATTTATGAGCGAACATTAAGCCGCGTTTGTACTACTAATCCGTTATACTAAAACAGTTTGCATACGCTGTTCTAGGCATGTCTCTTCATTGTATCTTGCCATAATGGTCACACAAAAACTGTCTTTAGAAATATTCTAAGCATGCGTAAAATGCATGAAGCAAACATGCTCCGATGATACAAGGAACGTGCCCTCAGATAATTATGTAATCGTGTCTGCAAAGCAACTCCATGTCTTTCTTTTTTTTTTTTTCTTTATTGCGAAAGCATTATCTGTCCCGTGGAGCGAAGCCGGCGTTTCTGTAACCGTCTGTAGCAGCGAAACGGCAGCTGAATTCCCATTGGCCAGCGAAACGCCAGATAAATTCCCACTGGCCAAAAGCAAAGCAACGCAGATGCCGACGGGGTTCGCCGCGTCTGCGTAGTGAGGGAGCGTCATGTCACCGCCGGAGCGCCGTGTGAAAAAAGGTAGACGTGGCGTGCAGCTGGTAGGAATGCGCTGCGCGTAGGAATGCTTTCGCATTCCTACTCGTTAGCAGTCCTTAGTGTCCTCTTTTGTCTTTTTGTATGATGAGGATGACGTACGAGCAATGAGACTGCCGGCTTTACGGCCTTTTATGTCCGTGGCTCGGTTTGAAATCATTGAAGCAGGCGGCAACCACATATGTTAAATACACAGCGATTTCGCATATAGTGGTTAGTACGATTTAAAAGGTTAAAAATCGCCAAAAAAACCAGGACTATAAAGGCACAAAGACACTAATGCGCCCAGCGGATGTGATAGGATGTATATATAGCAGCTCTTTAACTGCAAATAAATCTAGGAAGAGTCTTGATATGCTAATACACATATTGTGTTCGTGTGCATCAATTTGTCGTTTCTTTTTTTTTTTATGGACGCTTTCGTCAATCTCAAAATATTTCATAATGCGAGTTGTGCGTACTAACGATTCAGCAATATATGCATTTACCTTAGTTCGGCCGCGAAAATGTTTCTAGATAAGCGAGGACGTGTATGAGCCCCCTCTCTCACGGGGTCCATATTGATTAGATATGAATTTAGTATAAGAGAAACGTTTAAGCTGCCTCAATTGTACAACAAAAGTCGTTGCATGGTTGGTCGCAGTAGGCGCGTCCTCGTGAAGCAGGCAGACAAAGAATTATAGTTAATTTGTAAAATGTGATAGAGAACATCAAGGGCACCGACGAATAATTATATTCTTAAATTTACCAGGGCAGTTACTAAGCAGCTAAATGCTGAAACGTTTACGCGGTATGGACAGTAAAAAATGCTATCGCCTTTCAACGACAATCTTCTAAGCGATTTCCGCAACAATTTATTCTTCATATAGTAGAACGCAACTACATATGCTTTTAGATGTTCCCCGTGTGTACCTTTCCGCAATCAACGAAAGAGCCAATCATTATAATCTACAGAGGGAGTGTGGTGTATGACGACGTCGATCATTTGTTTAGACCTGAATTTGACGTGACACCGGGCAGGTCTAGGCACCGAATATTTTATTTTTATGCCTAAGCATGGTTCCGGCCTTGTCGCTAGCCCAGCTCCCTCCACAGATTGCACGTTTTGGCTCTCCCAGTGTTTGTCGGGAAAGTGGACTCACCAGCATTTTTAAGAGTAGCGTGGAATGCGTATTACACATTTTTGCGTTATCCGTATTAATGCTGCATTGGAATCTAAAGGAAGCTAACCCAGATTTCGTGCCGTCTGACGGCGTGCCTTCGAATGGACGTGGAAGGCAGGAGGGTTGACCACCTGACAAGCACCTAATGCGCAACCAATTTCGTACGTTTGCACGCAAAGCGCGTGGACGCGTAAAGCACTGTCCAGACTGTGGACGTTGCTGTGGACAGCATTTTCAGGACGGAAGCGTATATCTTCGCTGCGCTCTCAGTCCGTTTGGTACTCTTTTTGTTTTCCTAAGATGAGATCACCCTCCACTGGTGTCCTTGGACAAAGCCTTGGAGACTTCTTATGATGTTGATAGATGTTTCTGCCAACTTTGCTCGCTGTCGTCAAGGCCTCCGCTTTTGTTGTCACTCCTTAACCCCCCAAAAACCCGGAAGGGGAGAAGATAACGAAGAGGCGAGGTGGAAAAGCGTGCTGTTCGCCTGCTTTATGTCCGGCAGAATCCCGCCAAACGACCACTTCTTTTATCTTTTTTTTTTAAGGCGTGCAAGCTCTTTTTCATTTTTTTTATTGTGCGCCACAGAAGACATGTCCTGCTTCGAAAGCTCTTTATGCGTTATTCACATTACGCTATCTCGGCTTGAGACATCCTTGTTTGTGCCCTCTCTGTCTCTTCGCAAAAAAGGGGAGACGGGAAAGGAAGAGGGGACGCTTTCAAAAGCAGGCGACAATTCTGCCTATAGCGGTTTGATCACCAGATCGAAACACTCTGAAAAAAATAATAAAACGGAGTAACCATTTTTTTTCTGCGACCCCGAATGCGTCCCGGCCGTACTTACTAAGTTCCGTAGTCTACGAAGCCACTCACCATGAGTCTGCGCTTCATTAACGCCAAAAACGGCGCTAATAACTAACCATCCGCATCCCACCTAGAAAAGAAATCGGCGGACGCAGTTCGTCAACACTGCGGAACACGGCATGAGTGAAAAAGCATTTTATGAAACCGCCCTGTAGTTGAATGTACGAAACAATATCTGTAGGCCAGCATGCAGAGCAACTCCACGCTCGAAATATTAGGAGACCCCTTGATAGTTACTCTTACGAATTTGTCTAAATGAGTTCTGGGTCGCTAGAGTAGATCGTATACCAGGCTTTGCTTAACTGAACTGAATTTCTAGTCTACGCCTGTCATTCTAATACTCAAATAAAAGTAGCCGTCAGTAGTCAAAATAGTTATGTTTTTGTTGTTCAGACTGTAAAGAAGTTAGTAAGCCCCGATGAGGAGGGGGGGGGGGGGGGGGGGGGGGGAGGGGGGGCGCGGGGGGCGTTTGGCGCTTCCGCTTTAGGTCAGCATTTTAGTAAGCGCCGTTCCACCTTTAGACTGGGGTCTTCAAACGTTCATGACGCAGTATCAATAAACGACCGCAAGCCTACACGATGCTTATCCAGATCGAAACTGGTAGAAGTAGGGATAAAACCAGGATTCCTGGGTTCAGCAGCGCCAGCTTTCGCTCCACGAGCTACGAACTGCGATGTATAAACATACTCGGTCACCGAATCTCCTGCAATAATTCAAAGAAAGAAACGCTTCTATAGGAAACATTCAAAATAATTTCATGCAAATTATTAATTTGTTTATATTTTTAAAACCCAAGGTTTTCTTTTTTTGCTGTTTTGGTACTGTAAGGACACACAAATCGAGATATGCTAAATATGCGAAAAAAATGCATGCCATGACTGACAAGGTGTTAACTGTTTTGTCATCAGATGATCATCATCCTCTTTGGTACACTTGCCGCCCTGGACCCGACTAGGACGCTGAGTGCGTCGATTACTTTTTCGTCCGTCTACATTCTCTCCATTACCGAAATTCCCACCAACTCGTTATCTACGGTACTAAGGACCAGGAGCCTGGTACGTACTTTTTCTTCGAATAAACAAAAACTGGTACCTCTATGTTTCGAATCAGCCCGCGGTTTAGATTCTAAGACGGAAGAAAATCGCCGCGTACCTATACACGTCAACACATCATAATCAGCACTTAAAAGAGCAACATATACAGTGATGAATTCTTAATATGGTCACCTCCGTTCCTCCAAAACTTTCTTCATGTCCGAAGTTGTTCATAATTATGAAACCGGCTACAATCATCTACAATGATAGCCCCCCAACATTTACTATCTTTAAAGTGAAGTATGTATCTTAAAAGGTGTCCGTATTAATGAGGTATGACTGCGAATCCAGGTAAGACGAACTAATCTCCTAAAGAAAACAATCGTCTCTTAAAACTGTTGAAGACATCAGTTTGTATGAGGACGGTTATAAATATATGCCCGATGGCTGTAAAACTAATGTTAACCAAAAACCAAACCCAAGACTCTTACAAATTTTTGCATGTCAAGTAGCAAAACGTGAGCTCGGCAAAGGGGCCGGCGTGGGTCCCACGTCTGGTTTCCAAGTCGTGCCCAAGTGGGGCCCATTTAGGCATACCACCTGGGCTGCCTCGGGAACCCCCAGGGGGCCTACTTGGGCAGACCACACGGGCTCCCTTCGTCGGACCCACAGTGGGTTTTCTTCGTCGGCGCATAAGGACCGTCCTCGTGGGGCCCACATGCGCCCCCGTCGAAGGGCCCACAGTAAGCCAACGTGAGCAGCCCATATGAAGTGCAAACGGGAACGTTATCACATTGGCGTTATTTCCTCACTTCCCTACGGTGTGGAGTATTCGAGTGCATCCGAAACTGTGCACGCAACACTTTCTTCATCTGCCTACAGAAAAAATTATTACTGTTTTAATTCTTTTTGATACATCAATAGTACGACAAGAGGAAGACCATCGAAAATCGGGCATTAAAAGTGAACGAAACAAAACAAAAAACTGCACGTTTTCATACAAAATCCTGTTGAATTCTTGGGATGCATAGCAAGGTTGAGTCGGCTACAGACATTCAGTTTAAAAACAAAAAAAAAACTACATTTTGACACGCGTTTTTAGAATTCACGCTCGAATTCATTACTCTGCGCGAAAAACCCGACCTCAGGTAAAACAGCATTCTCTACATAGACGCAGATTAGTAAGTTAGTAATCAAAACCTAATTTTTCATTCTCAACCTTAAAATTACAATCATCGGTGATTTGGTACCGAATTAAGCCGACCTCCTATGTTACATTCCAGAACGTGCACTAAATATTACATATATAATCGGAAAGTGTCATTTTGGGAGTTTTACAGGTAGTCCAAGTTTGGCATGCCAACGTTTAGCTTACTCAGAGCCCAACTCTATGCTAACCTTGCCCCCATCTAGACGCACTAAACACGCGTCAGATTACAACGGCCCCTGGTAACCATCTAAAGTCTTACTAAGATACCGAGCCACTGAAACGGGCGTTGACGAGTCTCCGCGCGTCATGGGACGTCAAGGCCAATGCAGGAGAGGACAAAATATACCCTAAAATTACAATAACCTGGCCTGCCACGCTAATATTGAAGTGAAGTAAACGAAATAAAAGAAAAAAACTGAAGGTCTGTTATGACGGTGCGCATGCACCGCTGCTTAAAAGCGTGTATAGCCAACATGGGACCTACATCGACATTGCATTGGCTGTCCAAGCTGTGCATGCCCACTCGGTGCCGAGTGGACCCCACCCTTGTACTAACTCTGCCCCGTATAGCCTAGGGGAAACCCACGGGGGCATTGCATGAGTTGACAAAGTTGGGCATGCTCCCATGGAGCCTACCTCTTTGCTAACTGCACCCCATATAGCCGAGGGGGACCCAGGGGGGCATTGCATGAGCAGCTTAAGTTGGGCATGTTCCAGAGGAACCCACTTCTCTGCCAACACTATAGCCGAGGGGGACTCATGGGGGCATTGCATTACAAGTTCATGTTGGACATGGTCCCGTGGAGCCCACTTCTCTGCTAACTCTATAGCCCAGGGGACCCATGGGTGCATTGCATGAGCAGCTCAAGTTGGACATGGTCTCATGGAGCCCATTTCTCTGCTAACCCTATAGCCGAGGGCGTCCCAGGGGGGCATTCCATGGGCAGCTCAAGTTGGAAATGGTCCCATGGAGCCCATTTCTCTGCTACCTCTATAGTCGAGGGGGACCCAGGGCGGCATTGCAAGGGCAGCTCTAGTTGGTATGCTCCCATGGAGCCCACTTCTATGCTAACTCTATAGCCTAGGGGACCCATGGGTGCATTGCATGAGCAGCTCAAGTTGGACATGCTCCCATGGAGCCCATTTCTCCGCTAACCCTATAGCCGAGGGGGACCCAGGGGGGCATTGCATGGGCAGCTCAAGTTGGACATGGTCCCATAGAGCCCATTTCTCTGCTAACCCTATAGCCGAGGGGGACCCAGGGGGGCATTGCATGGGCAGCTCAAGTTGGACATGGGATGGTCCCATGGAGCCCACTTCTCTGCTACCTCTCTAGTCGAGGGGGACCCAGGGGGGCTTTGCATGGGCAGCTCTAGTTGGCATGCTCCCATGTAGCCCACTTCTATGCTAACTCTATAGCCGAGGGGGAGCCATTGGGGCACCGCATTAGCAGCTCAAGTTGCACATGGTCCCATGGAGCCCACTTTTCTGCTAACTTTAGAGCCGAAGGGGACTTATGGGGGCATTGCATGGGTAGCTCAAGATGCACATGCTCCCATGGAGCCCATTTCTATGCTAACCCTATAGCCAAGGGGGACCCAGGGTGGCACTGCATAGGCAGCTCAAGTTGCACATGGTCCCATGGAGCCCACTCTCTGCTAACTCTATAGCCGAGGGGGACCCATGGGGGCATTGCATGGGCAGCTCAAGTTGGACATGCTCCCATGGAGGCCATCTCTCTGCTAACCCTATAGCCGAGGGGGACCCAGGGGGGCATTTAATGGGCAGCTCAAGTTGGACATGGTCCCATGGAGCCCGCTTCTTTGCTAACTCTATAGCCAAGGGGGTCCCATGCGGGTATTGCATTAGCAGCTCAAGATGGGCATGCTTTCATGGAGCCTACTTCTCTACTAACTCTATAGCCAAGGAGGCCCATGGGGGCATTGCATTAGCAGCTCAAGTTGCACATGGTCCCATGGAGCCCAATTCTCTGCTAGCGCTATAGCCGAGGGGGACCCATGGGGGCATTCCATGAGCAGCTTAAGTTGGGCATGCTCCCATGGAGCCAACTTCTCTGCTCGCTCTATAGCCAAGGGGGACCCATGGGGGCATTGCATTACCAGCTCAAGTTGGACATGGTCCATGGGGTTCACTTCTCTTCTAACTCTATAGCCGAGGAGGACCCATAGGGGCATTGCATTAGCAGCTCAAGTTGGACATGGTCCATGGAGTTCGCTTCTCTGCTAACTCTATAGCCGAGGAGGACCCATGGCGGCATTGCACTAGCAGCTCATGTTGGACATGCTCCCATGGAGCCCATATCTCTGCTAACCCTATAGCCGAGGGGGACCCAAGGGGGCATTGCATGGGCAGCTGAAGTTGGACATGGTCCAATGGAGCCCACTTCTCTGCTAACTCTATAGCCGAGGGGGACCCATGGGGGCATTGCATGGGCAGCTCAAGTTGGACATGGTCCCATGGAGCCCACTTCTCTGCTAACTCTATAGTCGAGGGGGACACATGGGGGCGTTGCATGGGCAGCTCAAGTTGGACGTGGTCCCATGGAGCCCATCTCTCTGCTAACCCTATAGCCGAGGGGGACTCATGGGTGCATTGCATGGGCAGCTCAAGTTGGATATGGTCCTATGGAGCCCATCTCTCTGCTAACCCTATAGCCGAGGGGGACCCATGGGGGCATTGCATGGGCTGCTCAGGTTGGACATGGTCCCATGGAGCCCACTTCTGTGCTAGCTATATAGTCGAGGGAGACCCATAGGGGCTTTGGATGGGCAGCTCAAGCTGGACATGGTCCCATGGAGCCCATCTTTTTGCTAACCCTATAGCCGAGGGGGACCCATGGGGGCTTTGCATGAGCAGCTCAAGTTGGACATGGTCTCATGAAGCCCATCTCTCTGCTAGCCCTAAAGCCGAGGGGGACCCATGGGGGCTTTGCATGGGCAGTTCAAGTTGGACATGGTCCCATGGAGCCCATCATCCTGCTAACCCTATAGCCGAGGGGGACCCATGGGGGCATTCCATGGGCTGCCCAAGGAGATTGCCCCATGGAGCCCACTTCACTGCTAACCCTATAGCCGAGGGGGACCCATTGGAGCATTGCATGGGCTGCTCAAGTTGGACATGGTCCCATGGAGCCCATTTCTCTGCTAACCCTATAGACGAGGGGGCCCGTGGGGGCTTTGCATGTGCAGCTCAAGTTGGACATGGTCCCATGGAGCCCATCTCTTTGCTAACCCTATAACCGAGGGGGACCCATGGGGGCTTTGCATTGGCACCTCAAGTTGGACATGGTCACATGGAGCCCATCTCCTTGCTAACCCTATAGCCGAGGGAGACAAACGGGGGCATTGCATGGGCAGCTCAAGCCGGACATGGTCCCATGGAGCCCATCTCCCTGCTAACCCTACAGCCGAGGGGGACCCATGGGGGCATTGCATGGGCTGCTCAAGTTGGATCAGAATTTATTGGGGGGCTAATTGGTTGAACATCTAGACGGTGGTTTTAAAAGCGCAAAAGACTAAGAAGAGAAGAAGGGGACAGAACAGAGCGCTCTGTCCTGTCCCCTTCTTCTCTTCTTAGTCTTTTGCGCTTTTAAAACCACCGTCTAGATGCTCAAGTTGGACATGGACCCATGGAGCCCATCTCTCTGCTAACCGCATAGCCGAGCGGGACCCATGGGGGCTTTGCATGGGCAGCTCAAGTTGAACATGAGCCCATAGAGCCCACTTCTCTGCTAACTCTATAGCCGAGGGAGACCCATGGGGGCTTTGCATGGGCAGCTCAAGTTGGACATGGACCCATGGAGCCCATGGAGCCCATCTCTCTGCTAACCGCATAGCCGAGGGGGACCCATGGGGGCTTTGCATGGGCAGCTCAAGTTGAGCATGGGCCCATAGAGCCCACTTCTCTGCTAACTATAGCCGAGGGGGACCCATGAGCTGCCCATTGCATGGGCAGCTCAAGCTGGACATGGTCCCATGGAGCCCATCTCCCTGCTAACCCTATAGCCGAGGGGCACCCATGGCGACATTGCATGGGGAGCTCAAGTTGGACATGGTCAAATGGAGCCCATGTCTCTGCTAACGCTTTAGACGAGGAGGACTCATGGGGGCATTGCATGGGCTTGTCAAGTTGGATATGGTCCCATGGAGCCCACTTCTCTGCTATCTCTATAGCCGAGGGCGACCCATGGGGACTTTGCATGGGCAGCTCAAGTTGGACATGGTCCCCTGGAGCCCACTTCTCTGCTAACTCTATAGCCCAGCGGGACCCATGGGGGCTTTGCATGGGCAGCTGAAGTTGAACATGGGCCCATAGAGCCCACTTCTCTGCTAACTATAGCCGAGGGGGACCCATGAGCTGCCCATTGCATGGGCAGCTCAAGCTGGACATGGTCCCATGGAGCCCATCTCCCTGCTAACCCTATAGCCGAGGGGCACCCATGGCGACATTGCATGGGGAGCTCAAGTTGGACATGGTCAAATGGAGCCCATCTCTCTGCTAACGCTTTAGACGAGGAGGACCCATGGGGGCATTGCATGGGCTTGTCAAGTTGGATATGGTCCCATGGAGCCCACTTCTCTGCTATCTCTATAGCCGAGGGCGACCCATGGGGACTTTGCATGGGCAGCTCAAGTTGGACATGGTCCCCTGGAGCCCACTTCTCTGCTAACTTTATAGCCCAGCGGGACCCATGGGGGCTTTGCATGGGCAGCTGAAGTTGGGCATGGTCCCATGGAGCCCATTTCTCTGCTAACTCGATAGTCGAGGGGGACACATGGGAGCATTGCATGGGCAGCTCAAGTTGGACAAGGTCCCATGGAGCCAATCTCTCTGCTAACCCTATAGCCGAGGGGGACCCATGGGGGCATTGCATGGGCAGCTCAGGTTGGGCATGGTCCCATAGAGCTCACTTTGCTAACTCTATAGCCGAGGGGGACCCGTGGGGGCATTGCGTGGGCGGCTCAAGCTTGACATGGTCCCATGGAGCCCATCTCCCTGCTAACCCTATAGCCGAGGGGGACTCATGGAGGCATTGCATGGGCAGCTCAAGTTGAACATGGTCCCATGGAGCTCATCTCTCTGCTAACCCTATAGCCGAGGGGGACCCATGGGGGCATTGCAAGGACTGCTCAAGTTGGACATGGTCCCATGGAGCCCACTTCTCTGCTAACTCTATAGCCGAGGGTAACCCATGGGGGCATTGCATGGGCAGCTCAAGTTGGACCTGGTCCCATGGAGCCCATCTCTCTGCTAACCCTATAGCCTAGGAGGACCCATGGGGGCATTGCGTGGGCTGCTCAAGTTGAACATAGTCCCATGGAGCCCACTCCTCTGCTAATTCTATAGCCGAGGGGGACCCATGGGGGCATTGCATGGGCAGCTCAAGTTGGACATGGTCCCATGTAGCCCATCTCTCTGCTAACCCTATAACCGAGGAGGACCCATGGGGGCATTGCATGGGCAGCTCAAGTTGGGCATGGTCCCATGTAGCCCATCTCTCTGCTAACCCTATAGCTGAAGGGGACCCATGGCAGCATTGCATGGGCAGCTCAAGTTGGACATGGTCCCATGGAGCCCACTTCTCTGCTACCTCTATAGCCGAGGGGACCCATGGGGGCATTAGCATTAGTAGCTCAAGTTGGACATGGTCCCATGGAGCCCACTTCTCTGCTAATTCTGTAGCCGAGGGGGACCCATGGGGGCATTGCATGGGCAGCTCAAGTTGGACATGGTCCCATGGAGCCCCCTTCTCTGCTAACTCTATAGCCGAGGGGGACCCATGGGGGCATTGCATGGGCAGCTCAAGTTGGACATGCTCCCATGGAGCCCATCTCTCTGCTAACCCCATTGTCGAGGTGGAGCTCACGGGGGTATTGCATGGGCAGCCCAAGTTTGGCATGCCCGCACGTTGCCCCTGTAGAGCCCGGCCTCCTCTCTGCTAACTCTTCCCCCTAATATTCGAGGTGGGACCCACGGGGGCATTGCACATCCAGCCCGAACTGTGCATGCACACGCGCAGCAGAACTGGGGATCCATGGGAATATTGGAAGGGCTTTCCCAGGCCACTTTGGCCACATGGAGCTCACGTGGCGCCCCTTTATATGCTAGCTGAGTCAGCCAGAGACCTGAATGATTTCCAAATTCTTTGTGACACCGTTCACTGCCACCCGTCTAATCAACAAATCAGTTCACGCGCACGCTCAACGTCGTTGTCAGTCGTGGACGAAGAGGGTCGCCCGGATCAAGCTTTATGGGTGACACGTGTGCGTGGCTCTAAACTTTTGTATCAATCCCAACACACTTCTCTTACAATACGCTTCCTTTATGCTGAGCACAAAGTCTTCATAAATATATGCACCAGACCCACCCTCAGACCACAAAAAGAATAGCTCTCTCACTTAATTGCACCTCAGTCACGACTCAAATTACTTAATACATTCAAACAGCAGCGACTGGAGAGACAACGACCGCGTGAGAAAACTACTGATAAGACGGCGCGCGCAAGAGAAGTTGTAAGAGAACCAGAGCGAGGATAATTGATGTTCGAATATAATTTTGTAAACAACATTTTTTCGCTTGGTGACTTTCCTTGATTTGATTTTCTTGGCTAATATTTTAAAATCTACCCAAGTGGTTAAGGTGGCAGTATATCCCAAAGTCAGTCTCGCAACTCTGTTTCTGTATTGCTGACCAGATTTCCCTAGGCATGACAAGAATCATCAAATTGTGCACAGAAGAGGAACATGAGGAGGAACCCGTGGAGCACAAGGTTTCTTGTAGGAAAGGTATGCTAAATTATATCAACGTTCATACTCTAACGGTAGTGACGAGTATCCTTATAATTAAGAGCAACTGTATACACATATTTAGTTCGCTTATGTTATGAATTTAATTCATTTATATTTTCTAGTGCAGTAAGAGGCAGATATAAAGGTCACAGTAGCGACTTGACAATGTCTCGGCCCTCCTAAAGTTGGCAGGTTGGGGCAGCGCATGCCTATACCACATAAGTATATCACATAAAAAAAATATTTACCATAGAATAGCGCATCCTCGATTGCGTCATTTAGCACTACGCACTACTGTTAGTGGACGTTAATCAAGGTATTTTTAATACAAAGCTCCTGCCCCGCAACGCAAACCTCACTTCGCACCGTCAAAATGTAGTCACAGCTTCCAGTGAACATATTAAAATCTGTATCTTGTGGGGATTGTGGCAACGAGGGTGCCGGACATGGGTTCGCGGGGGGCCAAGGGAGAAGAAGACAAGGTTGGGACGGGGCTGAGCTCGGGCCGGTGAACTCGAGGATTGTCGGAGACGGAACGGTGAAAGGACAAAGCGCTGCCTCCAGATCGTCCTACTATGAGACAACAAACCCTTCGTAGCTTGCGTTATCTCCTTCGTGGCATTCGAGGTGGGGCCTGATCGGGCTCTGACTTTAGTGCGCACCCACATTATCTGGCGCTCCGAACGTGGACTGATTAGCTGGCCTTCCTTTTCTGTCGTCACTTGGAGGTCACATTCGACGTGTTCCTCAACCTTTTTGGGTAAATATACGTACCTAACTCGCTAAACGGTCGTTACCGCGAGTCAACGTTGCCCGTCGCCATGAGGTCGAGCGTGGCTGCGAATAGGGACCGCTTTGTCCTAGCGACGCTTTGCGAGGATCGGACGCCGCCAGACGCGCTCCGGTGAGCGGAGTCCTTAGGCTCCCGAACGCTGTCGGAGCCTGGTACTCCAGCTCTGGCGGCGGACGTGGGAGGACGGCTGTTATGTTCGAGACGCTGTCGCGATTGTTGAAATTGCCAGGCCTACGTCTGTGTCCCAATGGCGGCTGAACGTCCCCGATGTTGATATAATCAGGAAACCCTGATGTGAAATCGGACCACGATTTCCTACAGGACCTAAATACATACATGCCCCTCCCGCCCCCCCCCCCCCCCCCCCCCCCCCCCCCCCCCCGCCGCCAGCCGAGGACAGACCGCGGACTCTCAGATCGGGTATCGTAGCAGTTTGTGTACGCTGCACAAGAAAGCAGAGTTTTATGACTTGTAATGAAGTGGTAAGCACGGAAATACTTGTTGAGGCCCGTAAAGCAGGTGGATTTTGTCAGCGGGTGTTGAGAAAACTTCTGGAAGACGGAGTTAAGACCAGGAACGCTGGTGAACTAGTTATGAGCACTTGGATTCATAACTTCTAGGCGAAGCCGCCTTGTTGCTTTGCTATGTGCCAACGATTGATGGAGAGGAGGATTATAGTCATCCTTCGGGGTCTTCATTAACTACGGAGGATGTTTAACTCGTGCGTCCACGACACTGCTCTGGATGGTCATTGCAGTGGCAGCAAGACTTATAAAACATATCGCGCAGCAATCTGGCCGGGGATGAGGCTGGACGTATTCCGGTACACTCATGGATGCCCGGCATGCCAGAGAACAAAGCCGAGAGCCGAGAAGCTTCCGGGTTTGATGCAGACGATGGCGAGACACCGTCCGTGGGAGGTGGTCGCCTGTAATATCAGAACACCCCGTCACAAGATGTTGATTCCCCAAGGATTGAGCAGGTGGCGCGTGGTGGTAAGAGCCCGAAGGAAAAATCCATCAATGTAACCGTGTTTGGCAGTCAATGTTTTCTAGTGGACCGCTGACTGTGCCTGACTGTACGTCAAGCATGTCTGATTGGCCAACAAGTTACTCTGACCGACAGTCAAACTCCAGTCAGACCCCGCTTGTTGGCTTTCTGATGGTTTCCTGGTGGCAGTCGGCCGCCGCAAAATTCCATAAGGATGTCTTGGTGGCGATTCTGACTGTACATCGATTGTCTCTGACTGTACGTCAAAAAGCTTTGACGTGCAGACAGACGTACGGTCAAAGGACGTAAAGTTCGTTCGGATACCACTATTTCGTCAAATCTATGAATACGAAAAGTAATCTATGCACGAGAAAACGATTTCGGGACGTGAGCCCATGAAACCGCTGACGTTAGAGATATGACACGCAACCGACCGACAACCTTGATCAGAAGCCCGCCGAAGCGACGAACAGGCCGAACACGACACTTCGCTTCGCCCATAGAGGCTTCGCCGAGCTTTCATGAACGATCGCTCTCGACTCGTTTTGTTTGCCCGCTTGCTCCAACCTGTCGATCCTGCCCGGGCTCTACAATGTCTTATGTTTTAGTAGAATTTCTACTCGACAAGACCCAGCCTGTTGTGAGTTCCGACGATGTAAGGGACTTTAGCGGTGTAGTTGAAGACGACGAGGTGTACCAGGTCTACTGGGCCGGTGACGCGCGAACAAAAGGATCGTTCTACGACGCGAAAGTATTCTACATGGCAGGTGAGTAGAACTGAAGTACGGCGAGTGATGTACGAGTGCTTTGCATAACATGCTAACGGCTTAACTGCATTTTCAACCGAAGCATCTCGTATAAAACGGATGGTGAAATCTAGTTCTCTAAGAAACGGCGTAGCATAGCGGTTACGGTGTCCGATTTGTACGCAAGTGGTCGCGGGTTCGATCCGCGGTAGTCCTGCTTTTTTTTTTTTCTTTTTTTTTTCTTGAACATTTTGTTTTATTGAGGCATTTGGCGATAATTATGAGTGCGTATAGCTTTACTCTTATATAAATGCTGCCCTTGTTGATGAAATTCCCTTGGCAGTGGCAGTCAGACGTCATCTGATGGACCATCAGATGACGTCTGATGGTCCATCACGTTCCACCAAGGCTGCTGACTGGCAGTCAGTGTCCCAAATTACGTAGCTTGATGGAATTTTCAATAGGGAGTCATCGCCACCTAGAATTCAGTGTCGGGGACGGGGTCTTAGTGAGAACCCACCCACTGGGCAGAGCAATATGCGGTTTCTCTGCTTACCATGGCTCTGAATTGGGAACGGCCCTACGAGGTAACCACGCAAGGGTCGCCTCTTACCTACGGACCCACCCGGCTTAGTACAAACGAGCAGTCTGAGCATGTTCACGCCACCGATTTGAAGGCGTATGTCCTTCGCGACCAGGACGCAATGAACGAGGCACTACGGAAAGATATGGGGAGCGTCCCTCTCTAACGACCTTTTCCGCGCAGCCCCGAGACCGGACCAGGCGCGGTGGTCAGCCGGATCGTGAGAACGGTGACAGCTGCTCGGGCCTTCGCTAGAGTAAATGCCGTAGAGTGCAATGATTCTGTACGCCTTGAAGGTGTTGTATAACAGATTATGCCCGTCTGGAGCGGCCGCTTGGGAGTGGCTCGGTATGGCGCCGCTCATGGTCGGCCCCACAGAGGCAACCCACCTGGCCAGAACGTGGACGCAATGGCCTCCCTCCCGGGTCAGCCAAGGCGGCCATACTGAACTCCGATGGTTCAACTCGCAGGGCACCCAACCTTGGAGGCGGCCAGTTCGGAGGAAGCACGGTAGTGAAGACGGACGGTTTTGACGGGGCCCAGTATCAAGCTCGGCGGGAGCAGATCTACCTGTCCCCACCGTAGCGAACTTTCCGGTTAACGGGGCAACCCCGTCCGCGGCAGGGGGACCAGCATGGAGCAGGGCCCCTAATACCCGGTGGCCACGAGGATGTCGTCCGAGCGTCCGGAAGCAGTCCGCCACGTCTCTCGACGACGGTGGAAATACCAGCCCAGACCAGAGGCAGGGCAGCAGGATGTCACCATCCCGCCGCCCTTCAGAGGGCATGCGCTAGGCCATCTGACCTGGCCTCTGGACTATGATAACCTGCTGGCTGTGCAGTGTCCCCTTTGTACACCCAAAAACATACACGGCCCGAGGTGTGTACCAGGAGCGATTGAAGACGCTGTCTTTTTCTGCCAACGTGGAGGCCAGAGTTCAACTGTTCCGACGAGACAGACCCGACCTGCTTGCACCCGAGGCCCGGGGACATATTGAGCCTTCTGGAGGCCACGCCGCCGCCACCAACGTCGTCCAAGGCCCCTCAGCCGTCGCCGCACAAACGTCGACGTCCGCCTGCCACGCTCATCGCCGCTCCAGTGGCCATCCAGGACGCCCCCGTGTTCAAGCCTAGCGACCTCCTCTGAAAAGAATCCCCGTACTCAAGCCCCTCAGTACCGCGTTTGAAGGGGGATGGGGGGGGGGGGGGGGGGGGAGCTGTAGGGATTGTGTCCACGAAGGGTCGGACATGGGCTTGCGATGGCAAAGGGAGAAGAATACGAGGATGGGACGGGGCAGAGCTCGGGCAAAGAGCCCGAGGATGGCCGGCTACGGAACGGTGACAGGACAACGCACTGCCTCAGATCGTCCAACTGAGAGGCAGTAGATCTTTCATATCTTGCCTGCGCGATCTTCTACCTTGCGGTCGAGGAGGAGCCTCATTCGGCGGTGGCCAATGGGTACACCCAAAAACTTGAAAATAAAGTTTGTTTTTTTCTATTCTGAGTGACATTCTAGATTGTATTGACTAGGAGAATACAAAACGAGCGTTTAGCCAGTTGTGTGCTCCTGCGTTACCTTCGAAAGAGCGATCTCGTGCCAACTTCGCTGAGAACCGTTTTCTTTGCTGTCGGAAGCAGGAAGTTGCCGGTGGTCATACCCCATTCTGCTAGATATTCACAAAACATTTATGGAATGCACGAGCCGTAAGGGTGCACTGCCGCCCTCTATTTAGAATTACACTCGAGAGGAGGCGTAGTACATTATATATCACAAATGACGTCGATACTCCAAACTTGTATATTTGCCCTTGCGTTGCACTCGAGCATCACGAGCGCAACGCAAGGGCATATGAACAAGTTTGGGATATTGACGTAATAACTGATAAAATGTGTACGCACTAAAAAGCCTCTTCACGGTTTGGGTTCGCCGCGAGCGCATTGTGGACGAGGTTATATTCGGGAAAGGATAACGTTTTGGTACGCTATCCGAAACCTCTCTATTTATAAAGAGCATCGCATCATAGCGAGGGAACCTAGACATTGGACGAAGAAATAATAGCAGACGCGGGGATCTCAAGGAAATAAATAGAGACCCGATATGCGCCTAAGCTCTCGTTGTATACTATTTTTCTCTCTTCGTTTACCGCCAGCTGTCGAAACTAATCGTTTTTTTTATTTAACGCTTTTATGATATTATACGCTAGACTAAACTTACTTTTTGATTTTGTAATTAAAACAAGTAAATAACTTACGAATTGGCAAACGATTTTATTTCTTAGAGAAAAAGAACGGCAGCCGCGGTGTCGCTGGAAGTCTGTCCACGCAGGACACGCTTTCTGCTGTGCACAGCAGTTTCTGGACAGAAGTGGAGGCATTTTCTCCGCTTCCGGTTTGCCTTAGGGTGTGTTTTTGTTGACTCAAAACCTCCCTCTGTCGTAGCCTTTGGAAAATGGCTTGGAGTGTGCTCGTGACGCAGGGCAGAACGTAGCCACTCACATTCTGCTTTTTGTTGACAAGCCCTACACTGTTGCTAGTTCTCAAGCACTCGGAAAAATGAAAAGGCCGGAAATGACAGTGAGGAGGCGAGTAGGAAATCATTTCTATTTGCGTGGCCGATATTGACACTGAAAACGTACGCATGCAACGAAACGTTCACGTTCGTTTAGAAGGGTGCACAATTTTTGGCCTTGCACTGCAAAACACGTGTCCTGTTTGGACAGCCCTTAACATGACAAAAAAGGGAAAAAGAGAACGTTAATTTTCTATCCTGTGTCTAGAGTTCCATTGTGGTGGTCTACAGCTCTTCGACGAGTAGACTCTGCACATGTAAAGAAGCCTAATGAAAGCCGCTGTGTCAGAACCTATGTTCCGGTATAAGGTTCTGCGTCTTCAGCGCTGAAGAAGCTATCACTTATTGAAATTCTGATCGCTGCTTGAGGCTCCAAGTAGGTTTAGCTTAAATTTCTTTTAATCCTACTCTTTATCTATTGTACCCGATTTGGACGCGAATACCCAGAAAAAAATGAAATTCATAAAAGTTGTTTAAGGCACGTTTTAGTGGATATGAAAGCATGGTTAACATTGTGCTCGCAGGCGAGATCGTCATGGAAAAGTGCACCTTCGCCTGGACCAAGAAAAAAGAAAACCTGGAGAGCCCAACACTGAACTCAGTGTCCCTGGAGATTGCGCCGGGATCCCTGGTGGGAGTGGCCGGTTTCGTAGGCAGCGGCAAGTCTTCGCTTCTGTCCGCCATCTTGGGAGACATGCATTGCATAAAGGGCACCATCAGGACCTCCGTAAGAGCCTCTCGATGCGCGTGTGGCATTCTCCAAACGCCTTGATGACTGTGTTGCTAGATGGTTAAAGTCGCATTTAGCCTTTGGAAATCTTGTGAAACTATTGAGTCTTTGGCGTCGTGGTTAGTGAAGCACTAAACCAGATACAATCTGAAGAAATCTCGGTCAAAAATGCCTGATGACCACAAGCGACTGAACGTGCTCCCTGCGTCCTGCATTAAAGTAGCCAGCGCTTTGTCGCGCCAGCCGCCGTTGCCTCGAAGTAGAGCCGTAGTGACAGGTGTTAAAAAGGCCAGGTACAAGAAATAACCCACCGAAAAGCAACTCGTAGGGGAATACGAATAATGTTAGCGATCTAGCCGGCGAGTGGCTGGTTTATCGTGTTATTAAAACACACATACATCAAGGGCAAGCTTCGTTCCTGATAACCAAATAAAGAAACAACTACCCGTAAACTCCAGACAGATGCCTCACCCCCGAAAAGTAACCCACCCCTATTTTTGGTTTCATGTACTATTCCTTTAATTACGGAACAGCATTCCACTTCTATTAATTATTGTGTTCGTATCAATGATGACCTCGGCGTAAATGCGTCTATAGTTATCTAAGACGGCATATAAGCGAACATTGCTGACTGGAAAGTACATGCATCTCTGCTTCATTGCCCTTCGCCGCGATAACAAGCTTGGCAGCAACACATAATCCAAAAATAGAATTTCTTAAACTTTTCTTGATTGCACAACAAAAGTTAACCCGCTCCTTATTTTCACTAAATGTTTTCTTGATTTTAGGTGGGCTATCTTTCGTGATATTACGGTATTCTCCTTTTCACTCCAGGTCCGACTGCCACCAACGCTACTATCCCATGAACTTAATCAAGCGGCGCTAAAATGTCCTTCGTAACGTTACTCGTCGTCTGCGTGCGTTTTTTAGCACTGAATAAACCAATCACGCACAAAACAAAAAAACGCGGGATTGCGGCATGTTTCCTCAATGGGATTAGTTGTGTTACTGATAGCAAGCGCACCAAAAAAAATTGTCGTTACAATTAAATCTTGGCGCTCATTCATCAACTCCATTAAAGTGGCTGGATAAAAGCCTTCCTACAAGTTAGGGACATTCTTTGAAGTGCATGCCGACCTCGTGAAGGTGCATGTTTTAGGAATGGCGGCGCACAGCAGAATACTGAATTGAATGACGCCATTTTGTTACAGCGGAATGTGCTTATTTATTTATATTGGTTGCCGTTACTTGTAAAGAGAAGTATCGAGGGATTTTACACTCCATTGGATTGCAGCTTCGACAGCAGTCGTACTTAATGCGAGAGACACGTTGAGCGTACCGCATTGATTAACGGCAATTTTTTTCTTGCAAATTCCGCTCACTAGAGGTGGTCATAATGATAATAGTAATAATAATATTATAATAATATTAATAATAATAATATTAATAACGACAAAAATCATTTTATTTCACGTCTTCATTGTAATACACAAGAGAACGGTTCCGTCGAAAGTCAATAGTTGCTTGTGGGACTGGACCCGGCAGTGGCGCAGAAAAGACAAAAACTATTCACATAAGAAAGAAAAAAAATCGATTATTTTAAAAACAAAAAAGAAGAAAAAAATCTCAAAGAATAACAATACGAGCCAAGAAAACCGTACACCAAGTAGGATCTCTTACAAAAACAAGGTCCCTCTAATACTGAAGGAAAAAATATAACACTATAACATTGAAAAAGGCAAATGGAAAAACATAAATTATATAGAAAGTCTTACAAAGTTAGAAAAAAAAAAGGTCAATCAAAAAAGCAAGAACACAGTAACGCGCAACATACTGTAGTACGAGTTTGCGCTTTGCGATAAATCTGTGAAAGTAGCGACGACAAAAAAAAAAAAGAAACAAACTATATTCTACAGCCACTTGAAGGAGCTAACGTAGGGACACAAATTAAAATATAAAAATTTAGCATATTGTTTTTAGCTGAAAAATGAAAGGAACGATTTTGCAGAATATAACATTCATGATACACAATGGAGCCTTATAGCCACATAGCTAAGATACGAGTTCCACGACAAGTCATTGTCAAATATAACCCTAAATATTTGGCTGTGTCAACATATTGTACACGTGAGCAGCTGCAGCAAGTATACACTTGAGCATGTGGAACACAAGTGGAAAATCAAGGGAGTTGCGTTTTAGTGAACTGCAGATACAAATGAGTTTAGTTTTTTAACATTCATTTTTATAAGATTTATATTAAACCAGTCCATTATCTTTGTAGCATTAACGTGTAACAGGTTAAGTGCATTGCGCAAATTTATATGGCAGAAAATAATAACGTATCATCTGCGTATTGAAAGATGTCACCACCTGACATCGTCTTAGCGAGATCGTTCACATAGAGGTAAACAGAAGAGGGGACAAAGCAGAACCTTGAGGAACTCCGGCTTTAAGAAATACTTTGGCGCTCTGGATATTAGTGACTGAAACCCGCTGTGTCCGGCTCGTCAGAAAGTATTGAAATATTTTAAAGAAATGACCTATAAACCCTTAGTCAAACAACATTTTGAATAATATTTTGTGACTGATAGAATCGAACGCCTTGGACACGCCGAAAAATAGAGCGCATGCATATTTTTTGTTTTCCGAAGTGTCGTGTAACTTATTCATAACAATAATAATAATAATATTCATAATAATAATGTTTATTTCCATCAAACGTTGATGTTCAGAAAACAGCTATAAGATAAAGCTTGACGGGTCCCTGACCGCCTACAGCAGTAGCAGGAGAGCGAGGAAATAGAACAGTGAACAAAGGGAGAATAAATATACAGAGACGGCCATCATTATAACATGCTGAGCACATGCTTTAGATTATTTTATTGTTTACATAGCAAGTCACGACGGACAACAATGATTAGTTCAAAGTGATAAAAAAAACTATGCAGAAGAACTAACAAAGGAAAGGGACTACAATTAATCATGAATGAAAAATTGTGAACTTGCTTTTCTTAGCGATAACTTAGCCGAATCGGTACCTTTAGGTACATGCAGATTGGGTAATTTAGAAAAGTCGTATTTCAGCATTTGCGTGTCATAGTCTTGTTCTGGGTGTGAACCTTTCCCAACCTTGAACTCCGCAGGTAATTGTGTGTATGTTTTGAGATTTAGCGGATTTACATCGAGTTTCGAGATGGTGTATAGAAAACAGCTCGTGACTTAACCCCTTGAAATTCAAATCCAAAAACCAAGAAGCGTGATGTTACTTGTTTTGCATATAACCTGGATATGGCGTATCAGTTTCTCCAGTCTCCTTCATCAGAGATCTTGGAGTGTATATTTACAGCTCACTTGCTTTCAACAATCATGTCTTCGCTAGAGTAAATGCAGTGTTGAGGATGTTAGGAAGGATTTCAAGTATTTGTCGTCAATTTACAGCTCCCTGTTGCTTTCTACTTTTATTTAAGTGTCTAGTTTGATCGCTACTGGAAGTAGTCTGTCTTTTGTAATTCATTGACTCCGTCGCAAGAGCAAGCTATTTAAAATGTACGGAAACGAATGGTAAGAATTTTTATAGGACCGCTACATTAGATGGAAATATTTCTATCGGTATGAAACATTGCGTCATAAATGTTCGCAGCATAAATTCGCCGTGAAAACAGATTTTTTATTCCTTCACAAATGTGTTCATGGCAGAGTAAATTCGGCGGCTTTATTACAAAATATTGACTTTCATGTTCCCTCTCGCCCGAGTCGAAACATTTGAACTTTTTATCCATCTTGCTTGTCAGCTGTAATCCCATTGTCAATGATACAAATTGCTTGGGATTCACTGAAATTTAACCTCGATATTTTTTCATCTACTCCTGAGTTTATGTTAAATCTACTAGACTGGATGTCTGCGAACTAATCAATAATCAATTTTTGCGTTATAATAATGTTCCATGACTTTTATTGATTTAACTTTGTTGTTTCCTGCATTTTTAGGTTTTACTTCACGTGTGTTCAGTGCACCGCACTTTAAAACAAAAAATAATCTATTATTTAATATTATTACTATAGCTACGGAACAAGGTAATTTATGTGATTATCACACAGCATAATCTCAGAGAACAGAACACCGATAACTTCAAAAGAGTTTAATTTTTCAATTATATTAGTTGAATTTAAAATGAAATATTTAGTAATCTTAAAAAAATATTTTTAGACCGAAAACGCACAGCTTGCGTTTAATCACACTTATTTGTGACACGTTGCTATGACTCCAAATTTCTAATTTAGATAGCGTCAGGTTTGCCATGAATATTAACAAATCAGAGTTTTCTGCGGAAAATTGCAGACTTGTGTCACCGGCATATTGACAAACATTTCGTTGCATTGATATTTATGATAACATTAACGTATATCTTAAAAAGGCAATCACACAGAATACTACCCTGCGGTGTGCCAGAAGAAATAGGTTTTATGCTGGAGGAGTTCCCATTGATGCTGACATATTGCATTCAATTCCCCAGATACGACCGCATGAGCTGTAAAGCGTGCCCTCGATATCCATAATTATCTGGTTTTGCAAGTAGAATTTGATGATTAAGACAGTCGAATGCTTTAGTAAGATCTATGAATACTTCAGAGCCATCTTTTTGCTTTCAAAGATTGGCAAAACAATTGCTTTAACAAGGGATGCAGATTTAGTAGTCTTGTGCTTTCTAAATCCGTACTGGGATACTGTTATCAAGTCATACTTATCTGAACAGTTTATTAATCGTGTGTGAAGGACTTTTCCAGTGACTTGGACAACACTGGAAATATTGAGCTTGGTATATATTTTCCGATTTCGTTGATGCTTCTTTTTTATTTGTTACTGAAACTTTGGAACTTTTTATTCGCTTAGGTAACACTCCTGTAGTATAGAAAGATTAAGTATATGAGTTATCACAGGTTCTAACAAATAAATACCTTGCTTTACTGGTTTTACTTGAATGCCATCCGCGTCACAACTTTCGCTATTTTTAAGCTGAAAAAGAAATGCATTCATTACCCTTGGGTCAACAACCGGGTCTACATATATCGAGTCACTTTTTCTTTTATCGCTAAAACCGGAAACATTATTTGTTTCAGTCGTACTTGCGATATTTGCAGATATGTTTTTTAAAAATATTTGCCAATGAGCACCTAGGAAGTTCAGTCTTATTAGAATAATTTTGTTTTTAGCAGAACCGGATGGGCGACTACGACGAATAAGAAAGTTTATTTGTTTCAGCATAACTTCGGCACGTCCAATATATCCAAATGATATCGCTGTCTGACACATATAACTTTTTTTTAAGTTGTTCTGATAGTTTTTGAACATTCTAAGATCTCTCTGACAAATTTACTATGTAAGACGTTTTTTGTGCTAATTTTACAATGTAGATCTGGAGTTATCCAAGTAGAAAGCGTTAATTTTTTTTATGAGTATTAAAGTGAAGTATATCCTGTACAAGCTAAGAAGTATTTTAATAAAAGTGTTTTATGTACTTTCGGCACTGTGGCCACCTTCTCCACGCACTGGCACCACTTGTGCAGCGACCTTTCCATGCCCTTCTGGAAGCCCTTTTTGGAAGTGCCTCAAACCCCCACCTGGACAGGCGCTTCCAGCTTATCAATAACCACGGAATGGCGCCTTTTCAGGGGTTATCTCTTCACCCGAAAAAATGATAACTGCTGGGGGCCCGCTCAGGCCATACCCCTGAACGATCAAACTTCTGACCGGTGGTACGACGTGTCAGAAAGATGGCCCAACCCGATCAGCCGTCGCTCAATCACTGCGGCGTGTGCGTTCACGTGATGCCGTCTTTCTCACACGTCGTAAGACCAATCGGACGTGTAGTCGTGCATGTCTAATTTTTGACCGGGACCCGAGTTCTTGTTACCTGCTTGGTGGAATAAAAAACAAAGACCTGCGAGGATCTTTATTTTGGTCTTTAATAGTTGATGTACTCCGTTTCACGAAAGCTTGGCGAACTGTGGAGGCTAGCGAAGCTAGGGCCCCGCGACCCAATAAGAGCGTTGTGCCGAGGCACGTGACCCGACATCACGGGAGCATTTGTGTCACCACGACAGATGTGAGGCGCGGGGCCCGGAGGAGCCGGCTGTCGTCTGCTAGCCAAGAGTCGTCTGCTCGTAATAAACTTCGAATTAGTAACTCCGACAGTACGCATCTTTGACTTATTAACTGTTCCCGGTCCATTGTTTTTATATTTACCTTACTTTACCTATATATATATATATATATATATATATATATATATATATATATATATATATATATATATATATATATATATATATATATATATATATATATATATATATATATATATATATATATATATATATATATGTATATATATATATATATATCCTAAATAGGATTGCTTAGTATTTCAGTGTTTTTTACGTTAATTTCAGCGTCTGCTGAAGTATGGGACGATTTTGATGCGAATTTGCTTTCGGGTCTACTTTTTGGGCCGAAACACGGCTTTGGCCTTAACGTTTATGGCCTTATAGTCTAGAAGACGTCAACGTATAGCCAAACTTGAGTTTTTATGGCTAGAGTGTGTTTATCTTAGCCATGGGTCGCCAAAAAAGTTCCACAGTCAGGCTTCACTTTTGGTTGTTCGATTTTTATGTTGCAAATTTAGACCCAAATTGCCAAACAAATGTCAGATTTAGGCTTTACTGTTGTATCTTCGGTTTATACGTATCGTCTCTGGCTCTTGTCTGGCCCTTTTTTAAATTATGTGGCGAGCCGATATAAAAGCCCTAAAAACGCCAAAAAAAAAATACTTTTAACTAACTAACGTCTTGGTTGCAAACCCGTATTAGGCCCAAGTTAGTCGCCTAGAATTTCGAACCTTGTGCTGCTTTACTTGTTTCCCTGGACTGCAACTTGGGTGTGGGCCACTGTATTATAAATTGCCAATCAACTGCAGTCTTAGCCTGATGAAGGCTACTGTAGCACCTACACCCATCTGAGGTGTATCATAATCGCTTCATTTGAGGACAACGGGAGGATGTGTCCCAACGGGAGAATGCGACAAATTATAAAGAAACGTAGAAGTCACATATTGTTGACGTCTCCGGCAACCACTTGGTCATTAGAATAGCCTACACACATGTGATATATAGAGCTTGTCATAATATTTGGATTGCATGCGGTCTGTCGCGCTGTAAGTGTATTGTTAATTCATGAAGTGGATCTGTCGGATTACTAGCCGTTGCATAACGCCACTCTTGTGACGTCATTTTTGGCACGCTAGAGCAGCTTCTTTTGATCTTTTGATAATTAACATGGGTATACAAAAGTCAAGATTCTAAATGTGGCAATTGGCAATATCGGCGTAGTATGTAAAGTCCATAAGCTACTATAATATTGAGGAAAAAAAACTTGCACCATTTTTACCCCAATCGGCTTTTGCCAGATTGATAGGGAAGGGATACCTCAAAGTAGGGCGACATTGTTCCATAAAATGGGAAGATTGCTGTCGTCTATTACGTACAAACAAGTTATCCAGTGCAGACGCACTCTTAACTTGTTGTCTGTGAACCTACTTTTTACAACACCTTCTGGCTGACGCAGGGCCGCATCAGCTACGTCCCGCAAATGGCCTGCGTGTACAACATGACAGTCCGGGACAACATCCTGTTCGGTGAGAAGTTCGATCCGGTGCGCTACGGCCGAGTCTTGCAGGCCTGTGAGCTGCTCACTGACATCGAGAAGTTTCCTGCCGGGGACCTCACTGAAGTGGGAGAAAAGGTTTGGGACATCTGAAGCGTTTCCTTGTCATACAATTTAGAATTTCAGTACGGGAGACACTCCTATCAAAGGCTGCTGTCCCAAACTTCTAGGGAATTCATGGAGGTGACGAAGAGGCTAAGAGCGAATTAAATTGGGCGCCAGCGCCTCCGATCGAGGTTTCTCGCTGTGCAGTCAAAATGCGTCACGGTTCGCTTGCGCACGGCGCGAGTGCAGTTTTCAATCGGGGAAGAAAATGCTCAACAAGCCCGCGTCTACTTTCGCGCCATCTATCTAATGACGTGCGAACGTGCGAATTGAACGAGTGCGGAAACTGCAAGGGCCGTGCAGCATGCACGTTTCCGCCTCCTGGACGTTGTGGTTTGGTGCTGACGGGGAAAGTGATGGGGTGCAGCAGTTCTGAGTTTCCACATGGCCTATATTGTTCAGAACAGTGAATCATAACTGTACTTCAAGCCTCCTTCGAAAATGATTTGCTATTTTCTTTCAAGGGCTTGCAATCATTGTCACTTTCAATCAATTTACTTCGGACAACGAGAAAAGCATATTCTTCCGATTATGACACGCGGAAAATACGGCAATTTGTCACATTTCTCGGCGGGGAAACACTTTTTGCTCAAATACTTCTCGCCTAATCGCATCTCATCGAGCTGGAGGTGGCGCCGAATCCAGTCGGGCAACGGACCACCAGGAATTCGTAACACACATGTCGCGGTGATAGACGAAAAATCCACACCGCAAGGCTTTTTTATCGTGAAGATGGCCTGGTACCGATATCAGAACCGTAACCCTTTTTCCGATGGGGCGGCGTCATATAGAACTGCAAGCTAACCTGACGATTTTTTCGGTACAAAATATAGCTCTACTCTTTTTTCAGAAAGATGGAGTTGAAGTTGTTATTGCAGTCCCTGATATTAAAGCACTCACTAATATTCGAAGCTTTCTTTAGACACACTAACAACCGGAGGGGAAGCGCACCACGCTTTTGAGATTAAAGTTGAAAAAATAAAAAGCAGAATAAACACAAGAATACGAAAGTTTGAACGGTACAATGCGTTTGTGCCCGTCCTAATACGCCGAAATCTCCAAGCTTCCCGATCAATGAACTGGCGCAATTAAGCAATTTGCATTAAAAAAACTTGTATATCAACCGGCATTACTGTAATAGACTCGACATGCATTTGGCGGGAGTTCGTGGGCGCTCTTGTAAAACCCGTGTATGACGTTTTCGTTCAGGGTACAACGGTGAGCGGTGGCCAGAAGCAGCGCATTGCGCTCGCTCGCGCCGCGTACAGCCGTTCCGACATCTGTCTGCTGGATGACCCGCTGAATGCTTTGGATTCTAAGGTGGCCGACAGAGTCTTCAAACAGGTGGTGGGCAACAGCGGCCTTCTAAAAAATCAGGTAAGACGACGTTCAACCAGATAAAAAAAAAACCAAAGACGTTTACAGCACCCAGTAACGCCGAATTAGAGCGGAGCTTTTGAGGAGGAAGAGGGGAGGGTACTGAGGAGAGGGCGTACCGCTGCTCCCTGCTACCCCTCCTCCACTCCTCCCTCCCCTTCCTCCTCCTCCTCGTCGGCCTCTCCCCCCCTCCTCCTCGGCTGTACAACACTAGAGCGCACGACACAAGAGCGCCGACATTAGAGCACCGATAGTAGAGCGCCACGACGGTAGCGTTCGCGACACAAGAGCGCCGCGACGTAAGGGGGTGTCCAAACAGGACACTACAAAACGCACGACTCCGACAAATCGTGAAAATTGAAGCGGACGCGCCTGCTTCAATTTTCACGATTTGTCGGAGTCGTGCGTTTTGTAGTGTCCTCTTTGGACACCCCTTAAGAGAGCAGGACTCGAGACCGCTGCGACTTTAGCCCGCGCGACTCGAGAGCGCAGCGACATTAGAGCGCCCGTCACGAGAGCTCACAACCAGTCCAGCGCGAGTTGCCCGACCTGACAAAACCACTTGTTCGGGCATCGCTTGTTGTATGTTAAATTGGCGGGGATTTACGCCGCGGCATTCAGCAAGGACATTGCGATATGAGTCGACGAAATGTGTGCGTGTCACTAACCTAGAAGTTTTACAAAAAGCTGACAGCCAAAAAGAAAAAGAAAATGTGTAGCGTCTATTTCCGCAGAAAAAGAAAAGAACCATTGCAGCTGACCTAGCTTCATTTCTTGTTTGATTTTATATCTCGCAGATTTGCAGGGGAGGTTTCTCTGTATCCGTGAAAAGCCTGGAAAGCTCTGCACTCTATAAAATTGCGCTGAGCTTTGCTTCGATAAGTGTTTTGCTGATAGTTGATTAGCAGTTAGCTTTCTTCATTACGGTCATGGACGTCACAATACCATTTAAAATCATATGAGGGACGTCTAAATAGCCACCAAATAGATCGGAGCCCAAATGCCTGTCAAGAATAGACCAAATATTATTAGCAAAAAGTAAACTACAACATCGTGTAGAAATCTTGGACTCGCTGTTTCACCCAATCTGCAGACATTCCCGGTACCTATATGCCCCACTCCCCTGCCCCCTGTTCTCTCCGATGGCGGTAAACGATTGGTTAGGAAGAGTCGTACCCGTTTTGTATTTATTTTTTATTAAAGGCATGTTCAATCTATCAGAAATAACCAATGCTCCGATCCGATGAGTCGCACATTTTTGTTTGTCTGTGGAGCCGCTGGTGCATCCCACATTTTGCGGTGTTCGCTCAACTGCTCGTGCGCTCTCGTGACGTGCTCTCTAGTGTCAAGCGCGCTACCGTCGCAGCGCCCTCGTGTCGCGCGCTCTAACGTCGGCGCTCTAATGTCGCGCGCCCGAAAGGCGCTCTCCCTTCCCTTCCTCCTCCTCCTCTCCTCCTTCCCTCTCTCCTCTCCTGCTCCCCTATTCCCTTCTCCTTTTCCCCGCTCCTCTTCCTCCCCTCGTTCCTCCCCCTCCTTCCTCCTCCTCCCTCCCCATCCTCTCCCCCTCCTCCTCTCCCACCTCTTCCTCTCTCCTCCTCCTCCCCGCGCGGTGCATCATGAAAAATGTCCCATTATGCACCGTGTGGGACCCTCGTGACGTCACACGTGACGACATGAGCAGGTCTGAGGGGTCTGAGGAGGTCTCAGACTCCCTACTGATTTAAAAGGATGGTCTGAGACATGCCTCCACAGCCCCAGCATTAGTAAAAACAAAATCATATCTTGCAATAAAATAGCTTGTTTTCATGGATGTGACGTTTGGGGATTAGCAATTCGAGGGTTGCAGGTACAGCGTGGGTAGAGTCAGCAGCGGGGTTTATTTTATGTGAATCTAGTACATCTCGTCAGAACCCCCCCCCCCCCCCTTACCTTCTTGTAGGGACCCCCCTCAACTTACCGGAGACTTTAAGCACTGGACATGAGTGACGTCATGAGGGTCCCGCGCTGTGCATTATGGGACAATTCCCGTAATGCACTGCGCGGTTACGCCGATGGCGTAGCTGCGTAGCCGGAAACGGGAGCCTCAGAGCTGCACTCTAAAACAAAATACAGTATGCGCGCGGAACTTTATTGGAGCAGTTATATTAATCAACGGTGGACGAAGCCAGTACTGGTCAATCTTTCATCGAATCCTAAGCTTCATTATTTTACGTACTCGCGCAAGCCTGATTCCCCGGTAATGCTACACACCAGAGAGATGGGAGAGTAGTGAGAAGCATCTTAAGTGCTGCAAAATTTGAGGTAAGATTTGCAGGAAGCATAAGCTTCGCCTTTAAGAGTAGAAAGTGGGAGCGGTATCGTGCCCCCTTCTCGTCGCCTTCTCATTCGCTTCTCATGCTCTTCCTCCCAGTGAGCAGGACGTACGGCAGACAAGGCCTAGTTCGTAGCTTGTCTGGCTCGCAGTTGAAAGGTAGCAGGTTCGAATCCAACCTAAAATTTTTCAAAGTTTTCAAGTCAAGGTAAATCATTTATAAGGTGAAATCATTTGAGACAAGCAGCGACCTTCAATTCGCATTGCATGTCATGTTTTATAATCGCTTTCACTCCACGCGTGACGTCACCTTTCGCGTCAGCGTTGTGGGTTATTTGAAATTCCCGCACAAGGTCATGTGGCTGTGACGTCATGACTCTATCGACCAATCAGGATTTTTCTGTCACATACCACTGACACCGACGCCGGCTTTTCTGCGGCACGAGCACCTTAACTCTACGTGTTAAAAACGTTACTTAGCTCAGCATATAATACGTTCTTAAGTAAAGAGCGTAGCTAAGAATTTGACATTTCGAAAAAAAGCTCATCCAGCGTGTGCATTGACACGTCTCAAATTCTGAGGATAACCTTAAGTTTATTTTGAAGCCTGTCTGTAGAATTATATGAATCAACAACTAAGGTTGTTCCTATTAATTAAAAGAAAGGCCTGACCAAGTTAATATTTTCGGCTTTTTCTGTTTCATTTTTTCTTTCAAAATTAAAAAAAAATTGTTGCACAACCAAACATTGCGTAATCTAAACAAGAAATGAGAGGTAAAGGGATTAAACACAACGTTGTATGGAGCAGTGCTTTGAGCATATTCTTGTTCAAGATATTGTAACTCTACCCTAAAACACTCCTAAATATCAATTTCGGCTATATTCTTCCTTTTGCCCAGGCAGGTGTTACTTGTATGATTAAGTTTTACAGATTCCGTTTCCAAATTTGAATATATTCCATGTTCTACGTTGTACGACTAGGAAGAACATTAACAATATCCCAATTGGAAGTGCTCGTGATTTTTTGTTCAGTAGTTTTATTGGGGGCGTAGGCATTTTTGTCGCTCCAATATAGTCTTGATTGTCATGCCCCCCTTTTTTTACGCTCAATACTCTCTGATAACATGACGGTCCCTTTACAGACAAGAATTGTGGTAAGCAACCAAGGCCATATACTCAAGAACATGGAACAGCTGCTGTTAATGCATGGCAAAACAGTGATCGCGTACCGAACCTTCGACGATCTGGTTGAGGACGACAGGGCTCCAGAAACACTTCGCTTGGCCACCGATATGCTGGAGTCGCAGATGACTGTCGATGGAAGGCAAGTTATCTAATGTTGAATTATCAAAGTTCGGTATCTCGGTGTCTTTTTGTTCAAACTACATTTTTTTTTAAGCCTTAGGGTCATGCAGCTTACTGTCTATACTGGACAAATGGCTGTTTCGTACTGTATTGCATTCTTTAGGCCTCTTCAGCCGACCAAATAAAAATTGTAGGTATTGTGTCTATCGCGAATCTTTATTTGTGAATTCAGATATGATCTCCTTTACTTCTAGTCGCCCAGAAATTATAAAAAAACAACTTGCGTGTGGTCGGCACACGTTGTGCATGCCTGATACAAAAACAAAATGTGTATTTAAATTGTGACAAACCGCTGCTAAATATAGACCTTTCAGACACCATAACGAGCTTCGTACTTTAATGTTTGACTTAAGAAGAATACATTTAACTATGTTCGTTATTAATAACACTTAGAATTCACTGATGGTCAAAATTTTATATGCTCACTACTATAAAGCTTTGGAACTTTTCAGCTTAAATTTACCAATGTTGGAGCAAGATGAGTCAAGTGGAAAGGTTATAAAAGACGAAGTGACGACATCATCTATGGTAAGACGGCTTTAATATGGTTTCACGCTGCGCAAACTTGCAAACCAAACTTCAAGACGTTCACGTTAGGAAGCGCAATGTTAGTGCTAGAACAAAGGTACCTTAACTTTGTAAACATATGCCGGTGAACGAATCGTAGAGATTGAGCAGAAGTGAACGTTATAAATTTTTTTGAAAAACCAAGTACTTAACTCATCCAGGGTTTCGACCTCAGGCTCAAAATTACAGGTATGACGCGGCGGGGATGTTACCAGACAGGGCATATGAATAACGGGATTTGGTTTCCTGCTCATTCAAATGTTATTCTTTTGTGCTCTAAACTTTCAGTTTTTAATTCGATCAGTACTCTTTACTTTACTAATTATTTAAATATTTAGTTCTTAAAACCTACAAATATAACTAAAATGCTCTGTGTTATAGTATATGGTGGCAACATTGGATATACGCTGCAAAGGAAGATAAACAATTTGCGCCTAATAACATTTTAAGGCGTAGTTTTGTTTTTTTTTAATTTTCTATGTAAAATGATATTAACAAATTCACCAGGAGCAATGTTGAACGGGCAGACAACTGAGTTAGCGATGCTTTCAACGTGCGTCGCCAACTCCTGTCAGACACACCGAGCAGATTACGCACTGTCGTCTGCTCACTGCATCTATCGTTAGATGGCCCCATGCGATGCAAGTATCGCTAACTCGGTCGTCTGCGAACCCGTCCGCAGTTGAATCAGGGAAGCTTGTTTTTTCTCATTTTCCTCAGAAAAGGACCTATGCTTTAAACTTTGATCTGCCAAAATCCAACTTCTCGATGTAAATCGGAAAAAAATTTGAGCTTTTTATGTGCAGATGCCGGTGTTTTTACTCGTTTCACAACATATGAACCACTTTGGCCGCCCTGTAGTCCAAAAGAAATTTAAGGAAAAAATTTGATACATTACTTTGTTTCCGTCCGCTTTGCTCGCGGTTATAGTGCAATTCAATGCAAAGGTGCAAGCCAGCTGGACACGAATGACGAAAATAATCCCTGGAGAAGGAGCACAAGAGGGACAAAGGACAAACACGAATCTCCAAACACAGCTAGCTGACTGGTGCACGAGTGAAAAAATCCACCTGGTCCGGGTTTTTTCCGGACCAGGCGGATTTTTTCGGTCGCGCACCAGTCATCTAGCTGTGTTTGGAGATTTGTGTTTGTCCTTTTTCCCTCTTGTTCCCCTTCTCTAGGAATTATTTTCGTCGTTCTTGTCCAGCTCGCTTGCATCTTTGCATTTAATTGCACTATGATCCTAACCTTAAATATGCGAGCTTTCACCCTTTTTGGTCTTAGACTGGTGGCAGGTGATATAAGCTGTTTGCTCTACTGACGTCTAGCCCCTGGTTAGCTCTGTTGGTAGAGCACTCCACTGGGAATGGAGAGGTCCCGGGTTCGATTCCCGGACCAGGCGAATTTTTTCAGTCGCGCACCTGTCACCTAGCTGTGTTTGAAGATTTGTGTTTGTCCTTTGTCCCTCTTGTTCCCCTTTTCCGGGGATTATTTTCGTCATTGCTAGCGATTCGGTTTTCATGTTACACTGGTGTATTTAGCGATGAGGGCCTTTTACTCTACAAACAAGAAAATAAAATAGTGCAATTAATATAAACCTTGCATAACACAAAATATTTGATTGAACATCTGCTTGTTCTCGCCGTTCTTTGATCTTTAGAACATTATTGTATTCTGTCTCCTCACACAAAATCGTGGCGTCGGTCTGGAAGGTCGACATCAAGATGGTGAATGAGCCCAGATTGAGGATTGTGCCAAGTTCGATTATTGTGCCCAGTTAGATGTGAGACGTGTACGACGTAAGGTGAAAGAAGACTCGATATTTTGTAAAACGGATTTCAGACGACAACGGAAGTTGTATGGTCATTATTCAAGCTTTCGGGTGTCTGTATACCCATTGCCATTGCCTTCTTCGTCGCAAGCGCAATCGCGTTTGCGTGGCAGCAACTCTGGATAAAACAATGGACGGATGCCAACTCTTCCAACAATACACTCGATCCTCATGATCCATCATGGATTAGGGGTCTGGTTACGCTATGCTTCTGCGATGGTAAGCAATTCGAATGCATAGCATTCTCTTGCAATGGAGTCCTATTATGGAAGTATAATTGTTGACATGTAGCGGCCTCTATTGCATCACACCGCAGAATCATTGGCCTCTCGATTAATGTTTGTGCGTTTGTTTTTGAAGTCGCGTCTTCACCACAATTATCGCCGCACCTACAACATTATCGTATATGGCTTAAAGGACAACTGACAACCACATTTATAGTTTTTATAACCTCAAGTGGTTATATATGCGTGATTCATACATAACAGAATTTATCGCGAAAAAGACGTTTGAAAAAGAGCCGGTCAAAACCTGCACCCTCCCCCTCTCTCCTTTCACACACACACACACACACACGCACACACACACACCGTGCTCCTTTTAGCTTATTTTTGCTATGACTTAGCGGGCGAATGCAATTTATTGACATTTAGGGACGGCGGAATCAGATTGTTTGTAAATATTATCAACTGCACGAAACAAGTGTTTTGCGAGGATGATGGAGGCACTGTTACCACTGATTTTGAAAGTGAAAAATACAGAACAAAGAAGTGTTTGTCATAAAACATCAGCCATCTCCTCTTTATTATTATTATTATTATTATTAGTAGTATTATTATTATTATTATTATTATTATTATTATTATTATTATTATTATTATTATTTTTATTCTCGATATTGCGGCACTTATCGACGGTGCTGAGAACGTTGATAGAGATGAGGACGATTGGAAAGTTGGCAAAGGCTTGGACAAGTTCTTGTTTTTTGTGCCTGATAATCCCTCGGACTTTGAGAGATCAATGGTGGAGGAATCAAGGGGTTTCCTTCGCGTCAATCACCAAAACCTGCAACACCTCATTTTTTTTATCTACTTAAAAAGCCTGTAGGACCCACCAAATATAACACAGCTAACAATTTTCTTTTGACAAAATGCGCCGCAAGACAGAGACAGAGTTAGAGAGACAACACAAAGCGCTTCGTGTTGTCTCCTTGACTCTGTCCCTGTCTTGCGGCACATTTTGTCAAAAGAAATTATGTGCCAACTTGCCCATATGTAACTGTTACTGCTATCAAAGGAAAGTCGATCTACACTGTGACGCGTCATCTGTTCGCGGAGAAAGGACACGTTGCAAGCGCACAACAAAATAAGTGTTCAATTGGCCGGTTGGCAGACGCGAGCGCTCGTGACTGCCATGAGGATTGATAGAGAAAGAAGGTTAGTTCTTCCTGTTTAAAGTTGTCTAAAAAGGCAAGAAGTACAACCTTTTACCAGGCGAGAGTTTAAAATCCGATCGCTTAAGCTATTTATTTTTATACAAATAAGAACTTCCAAATATTAAAAAGTTTAGGTCGATCCCTTGGAATCATTTTTAGTTCATTGAAGCAATACAAAATATCGATGCTGAGGTCTGTAGTGGTTCAATAAATCTCAATATTTGCGTTCTGACTTATGTGTGGTCATTTGCAATACAAACCACTAAAAGCTATATAGTTAAAGCATGATGTCACTTTGTTTGGCAGCAAGTTTGGAGGTGTTGACAAAAAGTAGTGCCGGTGAACTTCCTCCGCGAGTTAGTTGGTTCTATCATTGTTTTAGTTGTCTGCCTCCCAATATCCAGTAAGATTTTAGCATTGCAACGCGTCGATGTCGAGCCCAGATGAACCCAGAATTGCCTCGTTCTTGAAACAGACAAACGTATGAAAACAGGTTGAGTCGGCCACGAAGCGTTGCCACCGAAACCTTTCTTTCAGTATACTACACATCGCATATTTGAAATGCTTTCTTTTTTTTTTTAGTGCTGTTTCGCAGCTCTGGTGGTATGCTGTTGGCTGTGAGCAGCCGTCAGTTGTCTCTGACAATGCACCAATCTATGCTGAAGCATGTATTGCACAGTCCGGTGTCGTTTTTTGATTCCACGCCACGCGGAAGACTGTTGAATCGATTCACGCTTGACCTTGTATCGATCGACACCCGACTATACTTGGCCCAAAAACAAGGAATACAGAACATCATGATAGCCCTGGCCAGGTTGTCCATCGCTAGCAGCCAAGAACCACCGGTGATGGCTGTGGGAGTGATTGCCGCCATCTTGGTGGCTTTCGGAATGGTATGTCCTCCGCTAACCCTCTCTGGATCCTCAGAGTTCCTAGTTAATGAGTATTGATCACACCCTATGATCTACCAAGCACGGCTGTAAAGGTACTAAGGTAATGATTGACATATTGTAATTCGCGTTTTTTTTTTAACTAGCTGATTCCTAACTTCCCATAAACGTTCAGTGAGATATACGGTAAGGAAAGAGGGACATTGAAGACAAACAGACAAGACTGGCCTTAGAGTTTCAACGAAACGTTTACTGGCTCGACTTCGCATCCTGAAGCTTGACGGGGCCGTCGGGGAGGTAGAGAGGGAGGAGGGTGGGTGAGAGAAGCGTGAGCGCCACCCCCCCCCCCCCCCCCTCTTTCCCCAAGAGGACACCGCTGACACTCGGGGCTGCGTGTAACGGCGACGTGTCGATTGACACACACCAGATGTAGATGAGTATTGCTCCACATAGCTCACGCTCCTCTCACCCACCCTTTTCCCTCTCTATCTCCCCGATGCCCCCCGCCGAGCATCAGGAGGCGAGGTCGAGCCAGCAAACGTTTTCTTGAAAGTCGAAAGCCTGTCTTGTCTGTTTGGCTTCAATGCCCCTCTTTCACAAATCGCACATCGCTTCAACGCCCCTCTTTCACATCGCAAATTAAAAACTAACACGCTCAACAGTCTACGTTCAGAGAGAGTACCGTAATGTTACTATAATTGGGGTCAAACCGTGTAATTTTCAAAATTATGTTGAAACCATGCAACTCACACTAGCTTCGTCTCAGCATCGGCGTAATCCCTTACTACTGCCCCGCTCTGAGCTTCAAGACTGAATGAAAACATAATTATTTCACTGCCTTCCCCGCTTTAGTAACTGAATCTTTGGTAGACAATCGCAGGGCATGTCGATGACATGCTCTGCGATTGTCTTACCGAAAAAATATGTTTGATTATATCAATAAGCATAGCAGAACATGTAAAAGGTTTGTCAGTCACAAGTACAGCATATACGTTTCTTATATGTCATCCTAAGAATTCTCGACATATTTGTATAATCTCTTTACGCTAAAAATATTGGTTTGATTTTAACTAAAGTAACCGTAACTGCAATTAGGATTTAAAAGAAAAACTGGAACCCACAGCCAGTACCACTTCACATTTGTCGCAAAGCTCGTTGCGACCTCATGTTCAAGCAGGTGCTGAGGCTGGACAGTCGACTAAAGCACCACAACTGTCGATATTTTCTTCTTTTTTTTTTTCATCCTACAGCGAATTCTCATACAACTATCAAACACTCTTCGGTTCCATGAAAGCACCCACGTTTCCAAGATCTTACAGCATACCACGGAAGCCATCGACTCGCTGAGCACTGTTCGGGCTTACGGAGCAGTGGAACGCTTCTGCAAGCACTTCTTCCGACTCACTGACGACAACCTGAAGATTCACTACGGCTTCCTGACTTCCTTCCGGGTGACCCGTGTCCTAACGAGCCTTCTGGGATTTATTATTGTGCTGGCAACAGTGATCTTTTCCACCCTGTTCCCTTCGGAGGGTGGCGGCGTCGGGGAAGCCAGCAGCGTTGGCCTGGCACTCAGCTCATCTCTGGGCGTGAGTTAATTTTGTAAATATATGGAAATGTAGATTCCTTAAACCCGGCCGCGTATTCGGAAAAGCTTGTGGAGTGAGTTAACAGGCCAATTTCAGCATTGTTTGGAACGTTTTCACAAATGTCACACTGCTTGCTTTGCGGGGGGGGGGGGGGGGGGGGGGGAGGGGGAGAAAGATAAAGAAGAGACCCGCGGGAGGGGGGGGAGGAAGGAAAGGATGAACAAGGCTTATTTAAACACGTTTCAGTAATTCAAGGCCTAACATTTATTCGGCTGCAACATTAGCTTATAACCTAATCAGGGAGCCAGCTAAAGTGTAGCGCGTAAAGCAAGGAATTCCCCCCCCCTTCCCTCCTTTCTAATATCAACCCTTGTAAACCAAGCGATGTTACGTCAATGATAAATCACCAACAAGAGGACACATATAGCCCTGTTAACTTAATTCCACAATCATTTTTCCGAATACGCAAACCGGCCTAATGCGCTTTTGCCTCTCATACGTCCCGCGCACGGGGAAGCAACAAAGGGAGTAAACGGGGGCCCCTAAAGGAATGCGAAATATTCTCTCGATCCGGGGATTTCGTCATTGAAGCAACTATATGGTGATTGGAATGCGCTGGCGACTAGTGCGATTAGTGACGTGCACAGCCGATGCATAGTGGTATAGCAGAAATGGAAACATAGTGCTTATCAACACCCACTGCGGAAGTTTGAACTTCTTGCAGCTCTAACAGTTGATTCTAGAAGGGACAAAATAATAAACAATTCAAACACCACACAAAACGTTCTGCGAGTAACAGCAGTATCTGTTGCGATTTTGAAGGATGTGCTTTAAAGTACTTGCTTTAAAGGGACCATGAAACGATTTTGAAATCGAATTTCATCCACCGCACGTCTTAAAAGGGGCGAAAACAAAACCAAAACACAAAAATAGAGAGCCATTTTTTTTTCGTTATATAACTTTTAAAAGAAGAGCGGACTCTTTTATATCTGCTTTCCTTCGAAAGCTCTCTTCCTTTTCACTGTGATGCATCCGCGGTGCCAAAGCACGTCAACTAAATCCATGTCCCCCATTGTATAGCAGCCTAACTCACCAGCACCGTGATCATAAATAATAAACAGCCGGAGAATTATTTTTAGGTGTTTTGTTAAAGATAATATTTTGATCCACATTTTCTAGAATAATTAGCGATGGGGCGGAAATTGCCAAATTTTATAATGCTCGGAGATATGCGCCCCTCTCTCTTCTCGTGATCGCCCCTCTCGCTGTGATCACGTGAGATTTTGCATTCACACAACGCTGATGTTACCGGAAGAGGGCAGTAACAAACGGCTCTGCCGCTTTTAAACAGAGGTCAGTGTAGCTGGCGTCGCACCCCCCCCCCCCCTCCCCCTCCCCTGCGATTGCTCAAGTTTCTGTCAACTGTCCTGCTGCAGAGCAAACTACAGGAGAATTCTAAACCCGACTTAGCTGATGTCTGTCACAAGGATCGCGTCAGCATTCGACTCCTGTTAGATCGGTGAGAGCAAGAGCCCCAGCGGTTCGTCAAGGGTGTCATCCGGGGCAATGTCACTAGAAGCCATTTGTGTTTCAGTTGCTGAGCTTCCTGTTTCACCAACGCTTTGCTCCCGTGCCGAAAAAATCCTGGCGCCAGCACAATAGGCGACGCGAGCGCCATGCGTGGCTGGCAGGGCCCTGAGAGCGCCGCGAGCGCCTCTGATTTTGTCAGTTCCGCGTTTTATCCTGATGGATGTTCTGGGACCGTAGCACTTCCGACCTTGACCCGCGCGCGGGCACAGAGAGGAAAGGCCGTAGTTTTGAAATGTCCGTATCACTTATAGAACGAGCTACCATCTTCCTCGTGGATAACTCCACAATGCCATTTATTTTTAGTGTGTAAACTGTCAGAACATTCCGCTGTTAACCTCGAGACCACTCAGATAGTAACTTGCCGAGAGGGGCTTACCTGTGCGCAATAAAGCGCAGTCCCAAGCTTGTTTAGTTATTTTTGGACGTCTGCCGGATGCTAAAGGAAAATACGGCCTTTGTTTGTGTAACCAATTTTATACCCGGGTACACAACTTGTCGGCATAGCCATATATCTGCTTAACTTCAAAAAGAAATGTTCCCCCAGGTACTTATTCTTTATCTTCTTCCTTAGCGGAATCTTCAGTCTCCAGATTTTTTTTTTTTTCGAGGAATTTTTTTTTTTTTTTTTGAAAATTTGAGTTCAGGAGAAGAAAGGGCTAATGCTTTGAGGGAGGTATCATTAAATTTTGGTTGCTCGTTGAAAGATCTGCACGCCTGTCTTCGTCACTACATGTTTTATTTGTTCGTGCTTTTAACATTCAAGAATAATGTGTGACTGGCCATATGTACAAGCTGTACATATTCGATCGATGCGAAGGTCAAAATGTGAGATATAGCGCGCAAGCCGCCACGACCGCATCTGCATGACGCTGTAAGTAACAACGTACGAAACCAGAACATGCAAACGTTTGAACGCCAGCCACTCGAAGCATTAGCGTCGAGTGTAGGGCCCGACCCAAAATTTTGTTTTTTCTCGGCCGCAGAGCGCGAACTCCGCAACTAATACGAATTTTCTAGTGGCATTTATCGAGGCACGTGCGGCGGAGGAGGCGAAACGGACCAAATTGTCAACAGCGTCGGATACTTCATACCTATCATTGGCACTTTCTGTCGCGTGGTAGGAAGGAAGCAGCCGATCAAGCGCCTAAAGGAACTTCCGATGCGAAAGACCCCTAAACCACATTATGCATCGCCATTTTTTGTGCTCAAAGTGTGTGGTTGCAGTGTAATAGAATATGCAGTATTCACTGGCGGCCATAGCTGTGTGCGCGATTGCTGCGCACGTGCCGATGACGAGCTTCTAAAGATATTTTGCAACGGGCACGCCACACCACCAAGAATGCCGGCCTTGGCAGCCTATTAAGTGAGCTCGTTCGGAATATGAGCTCAAAACAGCGCACTGAAACGCGGAGTCCAGGGAAAACCTGGTTAAGATGCTTTAAGAACGCGCAAGGTTATGCCGCCATTGCCAACCTTCTCTTGTCTTAACGGGGCGTTGAACCACTGAAGCAGGCGTTGATGAACCTCCACAAAGGTCTACACTGAGGATAGGGACTCAGTAACGCCTAAAGTGGCAATAACTTGTCCTGCTGTGGTAATGATGAAGTAAAACGAACGGAATAAGGGGAAACAATATTACAGAAAGGAAGATGGATTGCTGGATTCTTAGGGAGTGTGTTAGCATGACCGCATGGAAACGCCCCAAACATCGCCCTTTGGGAATCGCTAACGCTGACCACTTTACCTTTCTGTTTTGGCTTTTTCTTTTGCTTAGATTTTTGCTGGCACTTTTTGGACTTATTACGGCGTTTCCCAATGGGGGAC